GTAGCAGCTTTCAACATGCGCAGCATGTTGTTTTTGTTGATTGTTTTGACTGCTAGTTTCCCACATTGGTTGGTATTTGCAGGGAAGCCAAACGGAGATCAACCGCTTTGGGACCCAATACTTCGATCAATGTGACTTGCCGAACTGCACGAAGGTCGGGAAGTTCAAGACGGTCCTTCTTGATCAGTGTCAGGCTCGGCTCGGCAGCTTTTCGGAAGGTCGCGGCGGGCTGCCAGGAACGCCCCAACTTTGGGTTCTAGGCTTGTCTCTTTTGGAACCCCAAAACTGAGTGTGTTCCTTTGGTTGCCCCCCAACCAGCTGGGAAACAATGCTGTTGGTTTGTTGGAGTTGGTGGCATCTTAACATCACTTCTGATGTCTTCCACTTGAAAAACCCGTTCCAACAAAAGTTCAGCGAAAGCTCAATCCCCATTTCGCTGAGTGCCCGAAAACGAAATTGCGAAGCTGAAAATGCAATGACTGTTTACATGTAGCGCGAAGCCAAAAATGCCCGCGAAGACGACACTTGAAGCCGAGTTGAGCGAAGACGATGTTCTGGCACGCAGCCGAAAATGCCTGCAAAGACGAAATCGAAGCCGTCAAAGGAGTATTGTGAGGCTTTCGGTGAGTGGAGCTTGAAAACTCGTGCTTTGTTCCGTTTGCTTGCGGCACCCTCTAGCTAACCAAGCGGGTCACTGGCGAGGTAGCAGTTTTTTTCGTTTTGTTTTTTGTTTTAAAGATAGAGAAGAGACAAATGGAATCCCCAGGAATGGATTCATTGCTTGCGTTCCCGCATGCTTCCGATGTGCGCGTATTGACATCTGGCAAATTGAGTTTTGTGGCAACGGATGCAGTCCACTAAAACTGTTGTATTCCATTTTTCAGGCGAGACATGAGTTTTTTAGCATAGACCTGACTTGGCGGACCTCCAGCAGCGCTCCGAAACCACTACAAGACCACATCCGTCAGCCGTACCAAGATGGCTTGCGCCTTTTCCGAAAAGTAGAACACCAAAGTGTTTTAAGAAGCCACAACCCCCCCCCCTTTACCCCCCCCCCTGCTTTGGGCCAAATAGGTGGGAAGCTTCCCGAAAGCCTTGGGGAAGCTTCCGGAAGCCTTGCGGAAGCTTCCGGAAGCCTTAGGGAAGCTTCGGGAAAAAGGGGGGGAGATTGAAACAAGGGTGGTCCCCCCCTCCCCCCCCTTGTTCCCGAAGCTTCCGGAAGCTTCCCCAAGGCTTCCGGAAGCTTGCGCAAGGCTTCCGGAAGCTTCCGGAAGCTTCTGGAAGCTTCCGGAAGCCTTGCGGAAGACTTACGGACTTCTGAAGCTTCGGGGGAGCGGACGGGAAGGGCAGGGGACGGGGAAGGAAGGGGTGCGAGGGGGACGAGCATGAGCGTAGTGGTGGGTGTCATTTTCCAGGGCTTGTCGTGCCGCCAGTCAGTGGGGAACCCTTTGGGAGCCAAATACTTTAACAGTGTTATAACACTCCAATAGCAGTGCTATAGCATGTCTCAAGGGGGGGGTAAGGGAGGGGGGGGGTTTATGCTTTCTTAAGTGTTCGATTCGATTTATTTGATTCTGAACACGTTAGGTGTGCTCTTCTCGGAATAGAGATATTTATGAGCGCCGGCCCAGTGCCAAAAGGCTTTGTCTCTGTCTTGGACATGGACCATGCAGAGTTTGCGCAATGGCAACCTCCTGCAGTGCAATACTCAGCTGCAGCGGCGCAGCAGCGAAGCATTGGCGCCGACGTCAAACGAAGCCTGAACTTCAGCTTCGGCCCGAAGAAAAGCGTCAGGCCGACTGCAAGCGTCAGGCCGACTGCAAGCGTCAGGCCCACTGCAAGCGTCAGGCCGACTGCAAGCGTCACTTCAGCTCTGCGAATTTCGGCGTCGAGTTTCAGCTTCAGCCGCTTTGTCGGCTTCATTGCCCCGGACACCTGAACTTTGGCCCAAATCAAAGCGTCAGCCCGAAGTTCAGCTTCACGAATGGCGCATCGGCTTGGGGCTTCCATGCGACTCGACACGGGAGGTTTGCATCTTTGGGCCAAGGAACGGCTCGTGTGGTGCTGGTTTTGTCGAAGCTTTTCGGCTTTTGAGGGACAGGGACACAGCCCTAGGTGTCCTTTTTGGTTGTTTTGCTGGAAAAATAGATGGCCCTGGTTTACCTGGTGGTTTAATCATCTACCAGGGCCATCCATTTCTCCTAAAAGGACACCTATGGACACAACGCTTGTCTCGTCGGGCCAGGGTAGAGAAGCCCTCCAACCTGCGTAGCGCCATTTGTTTTGTCTCTGGTGACCCGACGGGTCTTAGTCTTTTGCTTTTCAATGATTTCCCCGTGCTCAGCACCTGATCATGAGCTCCGTCAAAACCGAAGCAAAATTTGACAATTTCTGGTATCTCCCCAAGGGCCGAAATTGAAGACTGCAAGAATCCTGGAAGTGTCTCGCGTGTGTTTTGTTCATAGCCCTCTCAGGTGTTTAAGAAGCCTCGACTATCGGACGTGCTCGATCGCAGGCATCCTTCGAAGCAAACCTGAAAGACCCACCAAAGGACCTGGATGCTTAGCGAAAGCCGTGCATATGGGTGTGTCTTTTTTCGGAGGGTATTTGTGGTTTTGGTGGTTTCAACGGAAAATCAAAAGGACAACCCATATTTTAAGACACACCCATATGTGCCCTGGTCAATAGACCCCTCGGAGTTGGCGTTGATCGGGTTTTGACCAAGGCGCATATGCATGTGGGCATGCATCAAAAAAACAAACATCAAGGGTGGTTGTTTGCTTTCCTTCAAGCCCACCCCAAAAAGGGCATCAACCAAGACCACACCCCCAGGCGCGGTGCGAGGACAGGCTGCCAGCAGTTTGTTGGAGTGTTGATTCGACAGGAGATGTCTCCCAAAAAGAAGCAGAGTGCCACTCCAGACGCAACCTCCTCAGCATCGGCAATTTTCATGTGGGTGTTTGTGTTTTGAGGGTACCATAGTTGGAGTGCTGCAAAAGAGAATGCAACACATTGGAAAACCACCATTTGTCGGGCTCCCCTTTTCTTGACAGATACCCGTGCTCGGCTTTGGCCTTGCCAGTGCTATATTTTCTGAGGAATTGGAGGAGTATGAGGAGAAGAGACAAAGATATCGCTTGAGGGCCCGTCACTCAAGCAAACCTTGAAAGGCAGAGGGTTTGTCAGGGCTCCTTAAAAGATACATTTTGCCCATTTGAAACATGGCTTTTTCCACCAAAATAAAGGGACACAGCCATTTACAAGGCAATGTTCAGGTGTATCATGTAAGGATTCCTGTTTGTTTTCTTTTTTTTGCGCATTTGTCATGTTGCGCATATTTCAGAGCTTGTCTTGGTACTGATTTGATCATTTTGCGGACATGCGCATACCTGAAAGCCTTGTTTCCTTTTGGTTTCCTCCTTCAAAACCACCAAAAAGACACACCCACATCAGAAAGGAAGAAGCCAAACACTATACACTTGACGATGCATGATAGATCCGAAAGCAGCTTCAATCACCTTAACAAACCCACCCCTACCGGCAAAGTCTCCGTGCATCTTTGGAAAGAAAATCTCACGTGGCTCCATCCTTCGAGGTGATGGGCAATATCCGTTTCATTGGGCAACTCCTCGTGAAGAGGCGGGTCTCGTGACTCAAAGTGTGGCGCTTCCCATCCTTCCGGAGCTTCAGGATGGTGGCATCTAAAGTGCTCAAGGCCTGTGCGCAGGACTGGTACGTTCTTGTCAGAGATCAGCAAAGTCTCTTGCACTCTTTTGTTTCTCAAGGTAGGGAATGGCTGACAACGAGTCCGGGTGCTGGGAATTGAATCAGCCGGTTTTGGGGATTTGTTCAAAGGAAACTATAGGGCGGGGTCATTCCCTCAGGGACCCTGAGAACACAGCCGCGCAGACGGGCGAAGGAGCTGCTAAACGAAGCGTCTCCAAGCTCGTTGGAAGCCTTGGCCGGGAGCTCGTGTGCCGGGTGGGGCACTGGGGTGTTTTGGGGAGGGGTCAGGGGGGGGGGGTTTGGGGGCATGTGTTTTTTTTTGGGGGGGGCTGGGAGAAGGGGGGGGCACGTCTGGGGGGGAGGTGGGGGTATGGCATTTGTGTTCCATTTTTTGTTTTTAAGATGGATCGGCAGCTTTGCGATGACGTTGCGCTGTTTACAGTTGGGAAACCACAAGGCTGGAGCAAAAGGGAGCCATGCAATGCCTGCTATTTGTTGGTGGACTTCTGTTGGTTTGGGGAGGACGGGGGAGGGGGGGAACACACAAGTGGTCTAATGTCGACTCTGCGCCTGTCCGGTGCTCATCCATAAGGCAAGCTTGCTCTCCACCACAGGGAAGGACTCCAAATTGCTGAGTGATCTGTGAGTTGTTTTTGTGCAGCGAGTCTGCAATGTTCACGCAGGAATTCGACAAGAGCGACTGGACGTTCCAAGCCCAGCTTGTGTTTTCGACCTGATTCCCTTCATTGGAATTTTGAAGGGTGGTCAAAAATACGTGTTTTTGGGGTTTGAGGATCTTTAGTGGCCCCAGGACCCAGTATCTTCATCTCGGTGTTTTGAAGGCACTACGAAGCCTTCTGCGAAGTCTTTCGGAAAGTGGCCAAAATTACAAAGGACGTCTTGCGGCTGAACACTCGGTGACCCGCTTGCCCGTCTGGCCTTCACCTCGCTTGCCCGTCTCGGCTTCTTCTGCCCGCAGGACAAGAGCCTGGATAGCCGGACAAGATTTCTGCTCCAGGCGGGTTCGCAAGTGCCATGGCTGAGTGTGGTTCGGATTTGCTATGTGAGTGTCCGGATTTTCTGCTATGTAGCCTGCAAACAGCGCTTCCGTAGGACTGCCAGTTCTGATGGCAACCCAGTGCTCGAGTTTCCATCCCTCCAGCTTGCTTGTTTCCAGTTTTCAGCATCAAGTTTCTTGCAGTGACCTAGCTTCCAGCATTTTTTTCCGAAAGTGTCAGACATTTTCCGGGCATCTTCCCACGTCCGGCGTTGCCATGTCGCGCCTCCTCCTGCTCTTGGCGATTTCCCCAAGCGCCGCGGTGGACGAGTGCGACGCGGAGGGCTGCGCATTTCATGCGCTGCAGCGAAGGGCCACCAGCTTTGGCACCGTAGGTCGTGGCCCGAGAGAGGAACGACAAAGCTCTATTAAGCTATATTAGCCATGGGTCAAAACCCAAATCGTACCCCCAGCGAGCATCAACCAACCCCCACTAAAATAGGTTCTAAAATGGGTGGTGAGTTCACCTAGCCCAAAATGGTACCATTGGTTTTGAACATATGTTTTTTTGCCTGTGGGTCAACAATAGGTACCCAACATGGACTCCCGGTATAACGCGTTATACATGGAAGCATGACTAACGCCTGTGGTTCTCTGGCGATTGAATTTTGGAATTTTGACCCATACCCATACGTGGCTCGTCTTGTTTCGGAGTTTGTACCCCCTTCTTGCTCTGTTTTCAAGGGAAACAACACCGGAAGGAAGGCCAAAGCCCATTTTTTGGGGGTTCCCCAAAGCAGACGAGGCGCCCTCCCTACGCCGCTACGACCCTTGGACGCTGAGGCCCGGGGGTCGCTTTCGGCCACGAGGCGGACGTGGCCGCGGGCCCGGCCATCAGCAGCTGGAAGGAAAGCGCGCCGGAGACCGGCGACGAACTGCGGGGGCCTGAAGCGGGGGTTTTTCTTCTTCATATTTTTCTGTTTTCTGGTTTTTCTCATTTTTTTTCCTGGGCGGTGTGTGTGTGTGTGTGCAGGGGTTGGAGGTGTCTTGGGCTCGCTTTGATCCTTGAAGCCTTGAAGACTTGAAGACTTGAAACCTTTTCAGAGTCAGCCAGTCGGAACACACAGCTTCGCACGGGACACACATGAAGCGCTTCGCCGGTTTGCTGAACCCATTCAACGGGTGGGTCACTCAGCACCATGAAGGGCGGGGTCCCTTTTTCCTTTTGAACCAACCTACTTGAAGCCTTGAAGCTGCTTTTTCTGGACAGCCCAAGCTGACTTGAAGCCTACTTTGGGGCACGGTTTGCTGTTTTTCCCCAGCAATGGGCTCTACTTGTTTTTGGTTGAGTCGGAAACCAAGTGACCCCTTTGTTATGTTAAAGGACGATCCAACAACCCGTTGATCAAGCCGTTGTATGTCAAGGGATGGTCCCGTTTATTTGAGTCGGGGGGAAAAAAACACAACTTGTTCTGTAAGACGTTGAGTCGAACCGGAAAAGAAACCCGCTGTATGTGATGGGATGCTATGACATTGCATATTTGTCCGGCTCAATTTGGGTGTGGGTCAAAATTAAACCAACAGGGGACCGCAGATTTTGGTCCATGTTTCCACTTACCAGGGTTCCTTTTTGGGTACCTATTTGTGACCCCACAGCCATTTGATCGGAAAGCGAGGCTGGGAGCCGGACCATCAGCTCAGTATGCCCCGCCCAGCCGCTCCGCTGGCAAGAGTCGTCTGCGTGAGGGCGGCGATCTGAAGTTTGAAGCCGAGGCTCGCCGGTCAGCGATCTGAAGACTCTGCAGAAAGGCGGGGGAAGCCTCTAAGGAACCTTCCCTCCAAACGCCGTGAGTTGCCAGCTTTGAGGATGCTCTGGGAGGGCTTTCCCTCTAAAAGCCGCGAGTTGGCCATTTTTTGAGGATGCTTTGGGCGCAGTCGGTGCAGAAAAGTTGATTGAGCAAAAGTCGTGTTGTTTGCAGATGGCGTCGCGCCACCGAGCCTCCTGGCAGCAATTTTCACACCCGGGAAGACAGAGGTTAGTAACAGAAAGTCCCAACCATGAGCGGGTGCAGCTGCCGCTTTAACTCCTTACATGGCTCTGGTAGACCATTTTAGTACCAGGCTTGATTGTGACTCACTTGGTGCCGAGAGAACCTCTCTTGAAATGATCGCCATCTGAGACACAGCCACTCAGTACAACGGCATGGCCTGGCCAGAGATGGTCTTTCCTGGCACAGGCACGTAGTGCAAAGATGTCTTTCGGTTTTTCGGTTTTCGGTTTTCGGGGTTTGGCGGGGTTTCCAGTTGACCCACTAGAAGCTTTACATTTAGAAGGGACTCTGAGCCCAGTTGGATGGTAGGATGAAACCGAACCTGCAGAGTTCTCTCGGCGCAGGGGAGATGCATGTCTTCACAATCGGAGACGCTGGGCATGAGCTAGCTTGAAGTCGCGTAGCATTGCACTGCCAAGATCTGAGGATTGGGGCCTGGGCCTTTGCAATATTTGGCCATGGCTCAAAAGCAATGGTACCATTTGGGACAGGTGCACCACCCATTTTAATTCGTCTATTTTATTGGGGATTGGTTGATGTTCACTGGGGGTACGATTTGGGTTTTGACCCATGGCCATTGGAGACAGAGGGCTGGCTGGAGTCATCTGCTTTGACTTTGCCAGTGCATACCGAGGCCGAGTTGTTGATTCATCCGACGCCGCACTGAGGCGGTTTGCTCTGGGAGCAGTACGGTGGTGGCACCGGGCTCCACGTCTTTCCTTTCATGAGGCCGGCATCGAGTTTTGGATTCGAAGCGCTTGAGGTCTCAACGAAGGGTGCCTTTTCATAGGATTTGGCCCACCCCCCAAAAAAGCAAAATGGCGCAGCGGTTTTCCTCTTGGCTACCCTGGAAAGCCACAAGGGGGTACCCAAACTCCCAAAAAAAGTGACACTCACACCCCCATCCCACGGGTCCCGGGCGTGGCAGCTCAGGCCCAGCTGTGGCATGAACGACATGAAACAGTGCTTCAACGAGACTGGCAGCTCCGCGCCGGGGTCCTGCAAGCAGGCGCCTTCAACGGCTGGGAATTCGTGTGAGTCGTGAGGTACGGAGCTATCTTAGGTTTGGACAGGCATTCACCCGTTAATTTTCTACTGAAGGACAAAATCCGTATCGCACCAGTTGGGTTTGTTTTTGGCTCCTATCGTTCATAGAATTTCATTCAACTTGTTTCCCAAGTTGAGTTTGCCCTTCCACAACAGGGTTGTCTTTTGGAAGATCCCGTTTGGAGGTGTTTGCCAATTTGGTGTGTTGTTTTTTTGGAGGGTATGCCTTTCCCGTGGGTTCAATAAAAACCTCCAAAACACCAAAATTCCCATTCTGGGTTTCAACATCCTAAAAGATTTTTTTTGTTGAACTGCACCCTTTTTCTGCGGTTTCACCTCGAACCTCAAACGGGGAAATCCAGTCGCCGTTTTGGGCGGCAACATATCAGAAAAGGAGGAGCCCACTCGATGCCAATGGGAGGCCTGCGGCTATGTGAAGGGCATCGACGACAAGGCGCAGGTCGTAGTGGCCCAGCAGATGAAGAAGCGCGCTGAGAGGAATGACCCGATGTCGGCCGGCAGCCATTTTTTTTTTTGGTTTCGCCCGGAGCTGAATGGATGGGTGTGTCAAGAATTTGTACATCCAGGATGTGTCAAAAAATCAAAGACCCTGAAACTTGTTTTTTGTTGTTGTCGGTTTCCCTTTAAACCAACAATTGGTTGGTGTGCTTTGGTGTCTTGAAAAGCCTCAAGGGGAAGCTGAATTTGGGTTGTCAAAGAAGATAGCGCCTTCTTGGACCCATCTCGACACAATGTTGACAAACCCACCATGTGCGCGAGCGTGCGTGTGTGTGTGTGTGTGTGTGTGTGCGCGTGTTTTGAAGATACCCTTTTCAAGGTTGGTTTAAAGGGAAACCAACAGTGAAACAACCATTTTCAGGGTCTTCCATTGTTGACACAGACTCATTTGTGTTTTCAAGAATTAGTGACTCCCCTTGCCCCCTTGAGGCTCAAGACACCACAGGACACCAGCCAAGCTGGATGTACTATTTGGGACACACCCATAGTTTATGGCCCGGATCGATTTTGATTGGGGCTGCTTTGGGAATGTTAACTTTGACTTGGGCGGGAGCTTCACCCAGTCACCCCTTCGATGTTGATTGGGTGTGGGTCCTGTTGAGGAAGCCTTTGACTTTTGGGGGAGGACACCCTATATGGCGGTTCATGAGTTTTGGGAGAGATCGTCGACATATGCATCGTGCCAAATAAATCGCCGAATCGAAGGGACATCCTCACCGATCATTGTGGACCACATGTGGACCATGGGTGCAAGAGGAGTCAAATGAGCGTTCGGGTGACTGGATAAAAAACACTTGCAGGACTGGGGTGCAGTACATCTTGAACGTGGGCGACAACTTTTACCCGCAGGCAGATGCCGTGCAGTGATTTTGTTTGTTTGTGCGCCTGCAGCCTGCTTGATGGTTGGTCTTCTTTGTGGGCTTATTTTGTTGGGTTCTTTAAAGGGCTGCCTTTAGGTGCTGCTGTTTGTTTGCTTCTTCCTTTCTGTAAGATTCTAGAATGACCCAACGGGCGAAACCTGAAGCGGAACCAGCCATGCTGGGCGATCCCTGTTTAGGTTTGTGTCCGAAAAGGGGACCACCTGGTGTTTGAAACTTCCACACCCCCAGAGGGGTTCTCACAAAAGAAGCACACCCATGATCTCAAACTTCTGTACCCTGGAAGCTATAGGGTCTCCCAAATCGGCTCCGCGGCTTGGGGGCCAGCAAACGAAGGTTCCGTAGGGCAATCCGGAGCGGTTGGGCATATCACCTGGCCCCACCAACTAGCAAGGGGCTGGCTGTTTTTTGGGCACTGATCGTTACTTGCTGGTGCGATAGGTAGGGAATGAGTTGGAATGAACCCCAGGCTGTGGTCCCCAAGGAAACCACCAGTTGGATATGTTTTTTCCCCAGCATCTCTCGCAACAGCGATCGCTGGTTCCTTCTTTTTGGGCAGGGGATCATCCCATAACTCTCATGCTCTGGGAATGAACCCAGGCTTTCCGAACCCTTAAAGGAAACCATGGGATGGTTCAAATCGGGGTCCTTCCCTTGGACCCATCCGCGTCAGGGGATGAACACGGGCTGCGGCAGCCCCATGGCCCAGATCAAGGAGGCCACCAAGGTGCAGTTCACCAAGGCGCATCGGTCGGACCGCGGACCGCCGAGTGGTTGAGCGTTGAAAAAAAAACAGGGAGGCGCCAAAGGCGCGGCGAAGAGAAAAACCCGGGGCCACGAAAACAACCGAGTGGTTCAGCCCAGATGAAAGAAAACATCAAGCCGAGCAGTTTATGAGAAAAGGGGGTGGGGTTTTGGTGCTGGGTGAAATGTGGGGGTGGCTTCGGCATTTCAACCAAGCAGTTTATGAAATTCGGGGGGGGGGGGAGGAGCCTAGCCCCTGAAGTGGTTTGACTGCCCACATTTCACCCGGGAAATTTACTAAACTGGTGGGTTGAGTCATTTGGTGACTTCCCAAGCCTTCTTTTGGCCAAGTTGAACTTGGTGAACTCAGTTCCAGTAAGACTTGGTCAAGGAAGGCCTAGAGGATATGGAACACCCCAAGATTTGGTTGTCCGGCAATTTTCCCTTCAACACCACCCACAAATAGGCACCATCGAAAACCGACACACCCTTGTGGGTCGATTCCTGCCTGTGTATGGGTTGTAGTCAGGGCGATTTTCAACTTAGTAAGTGGAACCAACAGCAAGTAGCCTTTTGCTGTCTTTTCATGAACCACAAGGGCCCCTCATTTTGCTCTTTGTAAAGCCCCACTCCTGTCGGCGGGTTCAACTTGTCACCTTTGTGTGGCAAGCTTCAAGGGTAGGTGGAAGTTCATTTCCTCAAGCCTTTGAGCCACAGTCCAAACTTGAGTAGATGCAGGCTACAGTGCCAGTGGGCAGTTCCAACCATATACAAGTGCGGATATCCGCCCATTTCATTCTTGACATGGTTTACGGTGCCAGTTTTCAAAACGGTTCGGGAGCCCCCAGTTTGAGTTGCTAAAATGAGTGATTTCAGATTTCCGGTTGCACCTTGACAGGGTTTCCCCGTTTCCCTATGTGGGGGGCTTCGAAGTGTTCCTTTTGGTTTCCCTTGTTGACCCAGGATCTAAGTAGAACCCGTCCCATTATTAGGGGGGTGTTCCCTCCAAAAGTGGTCTGAATCCCCACTAAAAGGGGACACCCCCCCTACTAATCAACCAGGGTTTATTAGTCCGGGTCAACATTAAAACGTCACAACAAAGGGGCACCGTCAACAAAAACGGACAAGCCGCCCACTTGGTTGTGTCTTTCTTTCCGGGGGGCGGAAACCGGGGGGCGGAAATTCCCTTTCCACTTGCTTGTGTCTTTTGCTTGAGGGGGGGAATTCCCTTTCCACTTGTCTGTGTTGTTTTGTTTTTGGATGGGAAAAAGCAATTTTTGGTTGGTTTTTTCAAGGAAAGCCACCCACTTGGGTCCCAAAAAATCCGAGACAGGCCGTGCTCTGAGAGTTTTTCTGCAGGCCTTTGACTGGGTCTACTCGGGGCCTCTCAGCGGCAAGCCTTGGCTCTCGGTGCTGGGCAACCATGACTATGGCCAGGAGACCCAAAGCCGGGGGAAAAAAAAAGCTCAGCTTCAGGTAGCGCCGCTTCCCAGCCTCCCTCCCCATCCGGCATCGAAGACACTGAGAGGCCAACACTAGCTGATTACTTCTGCTGTGTGCTCAGGACCTGTTCAGTAAATGCCAGGTGAGCCACAATCAAAACCTGGGGATTGATGAAGGCTAGTACGGGACAATCCCCTTGCCATGAATAGCTGCGGATATTCGGCTTCTTAATTCTTGAAGCATGGTTCTGGGTCGACCATTTTAATACCAGGTTTTGATTATGACTCAAGTAGCCATGGTGGCCCTTTGCTGGTTTGGAGCGAGCCGAATTGGTGATCTGGATTTGGATTTAAGACCTGGTTCTTGTAGAGGGTAAATGGGAAGCCCCTCAAAACCAGACCACCAATCCAAGCCACCAAGTAAAGGTAGGTTGACAGCTTGGTTGCAAAAAAAGCTGGGCCAAAACTAAACGCCAGGATATATTCACTGCAGGTTTGAACCACACCCAAATGGGGTGGGGCTGGCGTGGGAAAGGGGGGGGGGTGGGGGATGCGGGGTGGGGGGTACATGAGTACAAGTCAAAATTAGAACACCAGGATATGAACCAGGCTTGAGCCCTTGTTTCCAGGTAGCATTCTATTTTGTTCACCCAGCACCCAAATGGCATTCCACTGGTTTAGGTTTCTTATCATCTTCGCGCGGAATCTGAATTATTTGCCATGTTCGTGCCCGAGAGCCACCATTTTACGCCGAGTCACTGTGGCATGCTTTTGGTGGACATGTTCAACTGAGGGCTTCCCCATCAATGTTCATAGACGAAATGGTGCACGGCAGCTGTTGAGTCAAGAGGCATCGCATGCTGTCTGTTTGGTTGTCCAGAGCCCTTTGTCGCCCGAGTCTCCAGTCGCTCGCTTTTCCTAGCCCATCTACTTGGGCACAAAGCAGGCTCAAGTGCCGCCACTTGCGAGTTGCAGCCAGACAGACGTGTGAAGTGCCAGTCTTTTGCTGTCTCCCAAAACGTAGGCAATACCCAAGCTTTTCCGAAATCACTCCGTACCTCGAAGTCCGCATGGGTGGCTTGTTTCTTTTAGGAGACCCCCGAAATTGGTGGTTTTCCTCTGGTTTCCCTTTGACACCACCTTAAGCAGGAAACAATGGGTACCCTCGAATAAACCACATCTCCGTATTTCTTCGAATCAGCGAATGGCCGCGTAAAACGCAAATCCGAGGTGGCCGGCAGTTTGACTATGCCTGGCTCTCGGCTCGCTCCAGAAGTTGGGAAGACAAAAAGTGGCTGTGTTGATTTTGTGGAGGCCACCAAGGTTTTCTTGTTTTTCAACAGGAAAGCAAAAGCAAAGCGACGCCTGTTTCTCACTTCCTGAGTTTCGTTTCGGACTTTAGTCACCTTTTTGGGAAGCGCATTTTGGCGGCAAACAACCACTTTGCGGACTTTTCTTGGCTCCCAGCCAGTGGGTTTTGTGTTTGGGTTTTTCCATTCAACCCACCAACAGAGAGCCACTTTGAGCCGGGGATCACACGGACAGCCGAGTCGCTTTTTCACCGGGCCCCGCTCGATAGGCCTGGGACCAGCAGATCGCATTCACCTGGGCCAATGTCGGGGCACCCGGGCGAAGGCGGCGAAGGGATGGGCGTCTTAGCTTTTTGGTCGGAGCTGGGTCAACTTTGTGTTTGTTTGTTTGTTTGTTTGTTTGTTTGTTTGTTTGTTTGTTTGTTTGTTTGTTTGTTTGTTTGTTTGTTTGTTTGTTTGTTTGTTTGTTTGTTTGTTTTTTGTTTGTTTGTTTGTTTGTTTGTTTGTTTGTTTGTTTGTTTGTTTGTTTGTTTGTTTGTTTGTTTGTTTGTTTGTTTGTTTGTTTGTTTGTTTGTTTGTTTGTTTGTTTGTTTGTTTGTTTGTTTGTTTGTTTGTTTGTTTGTTTGTTTGTTTGTTTGTTTGTTTGTTTGTTTGTTTGTTTGTTTGTTTGTTTGTTTGTTTGTTTGTTTGTTTGTTTGTTTGTTTGTTTGTTTGTTTGTTTGTTTGTTTGTTTGTTTGTTTGTTTGTTTGTTTGTTTGTTTGTTTGTTTGTTTGTTTGTTTGTTTGTTTGTTTGTTTGTTTGTTTGTTTTGTTTGTTTTGTTTGTTTGCTTGTTTGCTTGCTTGCTTGCTTGCTTGCTTGCTTGCTTGCTTGCTTGCTTGCTTGCTTGCTTGTGTGTTTGTTTGTTTGTGTGTTTGTTTGTTTGTTTGTTTGTTTGTTTGTTTGTTTGTTTGTTTGTTTGTTTGTTTGTTTGTTTGTTTGTGTGTGTTTGTGTTTTTGTGTTTTTGTGTGTTTGTGTGTTTGTGTGTTTGTGTGTTTGTTTGTTTGTTTGTTTGTTTGTTTGTTTGTCTGTCTGTCTGTCTGTCTGTCTGTTTGTCTGTCAGTCAGTCAGTCAGTCTGTCTGTCTCTCTGTCTCTCTGTCTCTCTGTCTCTCTGTCTCTCTGTCTCTCTGTCTCTCTGTCTCTCTGTCTCTCTGTCTCTTTGTCTCTCTGTCTCTCTGTCTCGCTGTCTCTCTGTCTCTCTGTCTCTCTGTCTCTCTGTCTCTCTGTCTCTAAGCTCTCTCTGTCTCTCTGTCTCTAAGGTCTCTCTGTCGCTCTGTCTCTCTGTCTCTCTGTCTCTCTGTCTCTCTGTCTCTCTGTCTCTCTGTCTCTTTGTCTCTCTGTCTCTCTGTCTCTAAGGTCTCTCTGTCTCTCTGTCTCTCTGTCTCTCTGTCTCTCTGTCTCTAAGGTCTCTCTGTCTCTAAGGTCTCTCTGTCGCTCTGTCTCTCTGTCGCTCTGTCTCTCTGTCTCTCTGTCTCTCTGTCTCTCTGTCTCTCTGTCTCTCTGTCTCTCTGTCTCTCTGTCTCTCTGTCTCTCTGTCTCTCTGTCTCTCTGTCTCTCTGTCTGTCTGTCAGTCAGTCTGTCTGTCTCTCTGTCTCTCTGTCTCTGTCTCTCTGTCTCTCTGTCTCTCTGTCGCTCTGTCGCTCTGTCTCTCTGTCTCTTTGTCTCTCTGTCTCTCTGTCTCTCTGTCTCTCTGTCTCTCTGTCTGTCTGTCTGTCTGTCTGTCTGTCTGTCTGTCTGTCTGTCTGTCTGTGTGGTTGGTTGATTGTTCGGTTGGTTGTTTGGTTGTTGTTTTTCTTTGTGTGTGTTTTTTGGTTTCCCTAGCCGCTCCCAAGTCTGGGGTCCCCGGCTGTGCCTATCGCAGATCGCCTAGTTGGGTGCCTCCACATTTTTTTGGGCCTAGCCCTTTTTGGCTGGCTCTTAAAGGGAACCAAAGGAAAACCAACGCCATTTTGGGGGGTCCATTAAAAGCAAAACAATTGGTGGTTCGAGGATTTGAACCTCTGTTGGAGCTCAATGGGAAAGCCCCCCAACCTCTAAACCACTGGGCTACAATAGTTGGTGGCTTGAATTCTGGCGCTTGCCTGACGCAATTACCCGACTTTTACAAGGGCTTGTCGCATGAGACAACCTCCAACAGGCCCTTGTAAACCTTCCCAAAAGGGTACGACTCAAACAAAGGCATGCCCACATTGATTCCGAGGACAGATGGGTCATGCCCGCGCAGTATTTTAGCCAACATGTTCGATACCCGGTCAGGATCTCAGTTTGACCGATGGTGCTGCAATGCGCACCAGCTGGCTATGAAATTTAATAGGGAACCGCCTCAAAATCAACAGTGGTTGGTGGACACGAATCCCCACCTAAATGATGTCCACCAATGGGTCCCGAATGAACATTCCGATCCGCTTTGTTTTTTTTCCCGCACATGTGTGAATGAACATGAGCTTTGGCAGGATCTGGGTTTCGACGTGGACATTTTTATGCTAGATTCAAATGCCGGCACCCCGGTGAGCGGGGAGAGAGAGCTCTGCCCCCATAGTCCGCGATCGAGTCGACACGTTCAACTCTGGCCCAAGGCCCCAAGCCAGTCTGAGGGGGATGTTTTGAGTCTAAGTTTGCATGGGTCAAAATGGCGCCGTTTTTGTCGCCCGAGGTCATGGATGCAAAGAGCCCTGACAACCCATCAGGTTCAAACCTTTGCAACCGCCGCTACAATGCGCAGGCGGCTCGAGTCGAACAACTCGCGAGTCGACTCTCGAACGGTTCGGGCGAACCCGAAAGAAGGGCCGCCCGAAAGAGTTTTGCCCATTTTGGGTGCCAAAATCAGGGGACGGGGGACTGGGACCCTGAACATTGTGGTTTTCCTTTTAGTTTCCCTTCAAAATAAACCTGAAAAGGGCACCCCCAAACAAACACGCACATGCACACAAACGCAAAAACAATCACAAACACACAAAAGCGCGCACACACACACACACACACACACACACACTGAAGATGGAGTTTGAAAAGCGAAAAGAGGTTGTGGATGTCCCAGGCCTTAAGTTGGAATCTGTTTGAGAGGGAACCCACCAGCTGCCGTCAGGGGCCCAGGTGCGGTTCGCAGGTACGTTTCCACGGGAAATGCGCAGCGTCTTCGTTGGCCGCCGACTGCGCATTCCCCCGGCGGCCCCCTGCTTTCAGGATATGTTTAGCATAGCTATCCCTCGACTGGTTTGGGTTGTCACACACACAACAGCTCCCGCAGGAGCACTGCTGGTAAACTGTCACTGGAAGTTCTGAAGGAGAAAGGGCCCCTGGTGTCTCAATCTTGCCGAAAAAAGGGGAGAAAAAGGGCGCATTTGTTGTTTCTTTTGAACACACACCCACCCACACACACGCAAAACGGCCGGGATGGCGGGCCCCCATGGCCCTCACCCGAGAGAACCACAGGGGAGGCGGGGGCGAAGGCGGGCCCTCCTCAGCAAAACGGTTGCTGAGGAGGGGAGGGGACGCACACCCACACACGCACACACCCACGCCAAACGGCGAGGATAAACGGTAGGATGGCAGGCCCCCCCCGTGGCCCTCGCTTGAGAGGGGGCGAAAACGGGCCCTCCTCAGTGAAACGAGTTGCTGAGCAGGGGATGGACGACCAAAACCAACCGAGAAATGCACCTTGGCATCGTTGAATGCGCACACATGCGCAAACATGTACACAAAACAGCCCCCATGCTGGGCTCCCGTTAAGGGCGGAGCTACCCGTGGCCTTAGTAGACAGCCTTAGTTTCCGGAGTGGCTTCAAACCGAAAAAGTCGTTTTTGTTTGAGTAAACAGGCAAAATCTAGCATCGAAAATAGAGCCGCTATTCCAAAATAATGGGTCTTTGTCCGTGTCTGAGTCCGAAAAGCTGTTGGACATTTTCCATGCTTCTGCTTGTCAATGAATGCTTAGTGAAACTTGAGAATTACCATGCCTCGGGCTAAAAATGGGTCGCCCGCTTCTGCACTACTCCATTTCAGGCAGATGATGGAAGAGCATAGAAACTTCAGGATTCCAAAGCTGGAACCTCTCCAATAAGTCTCGAATGGCTGGTCGCAAGAGCCGAAGCGGGACTCCCCGTGCGCAATACATAGCTGCAAGATCTTGCGCTTGATAAGGGATCAGTCTTCGGGGCCGGACAAAACGGCACACCAATAACATTCGTGCCCGAAAGCCTGAAAGAATAGCCCCTTCTGGTCCAGCAGAGCGGTGACTTCGGATCAACTGAGGAATGGTGGGAAGTTTTAAGGTAATGGATCGTTGGCGGGTGTCAATACGAAAGCCGAGTGCAATGTCATCTATCACGGTCTCCAGCACCAGTGGCCGCCCGTAAAAGTAAGGCCAACGCAAAATATCATGGTCAGTGCTCGAAGGCGTAGTGTTGACCAAAACCATGATACGGTTATCCACGTATCTAGTGAGAAAAGAATGTTGAACCCACGTGCCAGAATTCACAAGTGCCTGAGTAAAGGTCCACTCCCGGAAGACTGCAACTGCTGAACATAATACTGGCGCCCACTGGGATCCCATGGACGCGCCACATGTTTGCTGAAAGACAAACCTACCGATGCTGAAAAAGCTGAGTCGTAACAAAGTGTCAACGATAGGAACCACATCGCCGAGACGAACGACCCGATGAGTAGACCCAAATCGTCGCCACTTGCCTTTAAACAGTCGTTGTATTCTTTCGGCGTGCTGAACTGTGACGGAAAAATCTGAATCAAGAGAAACATCCTGCAAGGAGGCGTATCTGCAAATCAAGAACTGCACGGACATCAGGATGCGACAGTGTTCCACATGGTTGTAAAAACCAGCCAGGTCCTGCTGGTCTAAAAGGATTTCAGACTCGACATGGTTTTGGCAAAAGATGCGCCAAATAGACCGAAGAATGACATCGACTCGTTGGGTATTGACTTCCTTGGGGAAGACGGTTTCCAAAATTACCAAGAGCAGAATAGAAATGGCTTGCCCGATCTTGGAGCACCATGCCTTGCGGTAGCTCACAATTGGCCGGGCCTTGTCCCACCCACGGCTTGGCTTCGGAAGCAGGTATGCGTATGGTAGCTGACCCTGCATGGCCCATCCCCAAGAATATTGTCGCACAAGTTGGCGTGGCACAAACTGTGGAAGTCTTGACATTATGGTCATCGGGCCTTCATACAATTGACGGAAAACTTCAACATCCAGAAAAGTACGATGAAGCAACCAATGATAATGTGAGGGGCAAACAATCGCGAGACAATGAGGGAAATGGTCCGCCGGCCCACGAATCCATCCGTCAGTGAGGTTTTGAAATTTGCAAATCTCATGGAAAGCCCAAAAACACCGGTCCGCCGTATCAACAGAAGCCACATGCTGCTTCCAACGTTCATGCAGAAATTGATTCCAGTAATGAATCAGTCTGCAGGGTAACTTCCAATGTTGCAGCCATGCAGAAAATTGCAAAGAATTGTGCGAAAAGAAATTACGCCAGGTGGGCCAGATGGAGTCCTGCAAATGCGCCCACGACAATTGCTCACTGGGCCAAATGTCACTACCAAAACCGCAAACATGTCCAGTAGCTTTTGAAATGGCCGAATGAGGAACTCGTTCACGAAATGGCCGGCACACGCACTCTGGCTCGAAATCCGGCGCCCAAGTGCGCAGGAATGAATGGAAATTGAACAAGGCTCGTTCCAACGACATACACCGTATTTCACAAATAGGACTTCGCGGAACATGCAGTGGTGGAAACAATACTCGGTGTTGAATACAAAAAGCCTTCAGCCATGCCTGAGCAACAGCAATAAACGCCGGCTGGACGGGAAGAAGTCGAAGAACCTTGTTGGCAACTGGAAGAGTTCCGCCTCTAAACTCCAGGATCAATCGGAGTTGGCTTATGGCTCGAGCTCGCCAAGGTTCGCTCATATGTTGCGTCATTCTAGCTAAATAATAAAGTAAATGCAGCGAAGTGGAGCTAGAACGCAACAAGCGGGACACATGGAACTTGGCTATTCCTTCACTCCCCAAGTTATGCAGAAGGCGCAAGACAGCTTCCTGATCTCGAAGGCGGAACATTGTTCCGCAGCTAAGGCGCTTGCGCATCAAGCGCGAAAAGCGCCGCTGAAGCTGAGACCCAATGACCCCTGCGTGGGTTACGTTCAAAGTGTAAGTAGGAGCACGTAGTCCGAGTTTCTTCAATAAAGGAGATATCCATGGCCAGTTTAGTTTGGGGTGGTATAATAACTGCAAAGACAGTTCAGAGGAGCGCACTTCACATTCTCGAAGAGCAACTGGCATAACAATGTACTCGTAAAAGGTCCCTGTGGCCTTCCACCACCGTAATGCTGGCTCATAGAAAGCTAAACGATCATTCTGCAGCTGTCTGAATTTTCGAACGCGACTCTGCTCTCTCTCATGTAAGGAAAGAGTAGTGCAGCCCACATACCACGGCTGTCTACCGCAGTGGGCTCTTACATACACCACTCCTTGAAAATTGTAGTGCGACCAATCGTTCAGTTCAGACCCGACAAGTTCGTGTTGAAGTATAAGTCGCAATGAGGAAAACCGGTCCGACCGAGGGGCCCAGTGTAAGATCCAACATCTCATCATAGTGCCGCGCAACCATTGAAAGCGATGCACTAGACTCATTGGTAGGAAACGTAACACTGAAGCATAGATCGCACCAGATACCATCAAAAATGCCCAAACAATGGACTCTGCTGTGGAGCGCCTAGAACTAAAAGGGTCTTGCCCTGAGCGAATTTGTTCTGCCAATCACTCCCGAAGAAGGTTTACAGCGGCCAAAAGACGGAGTAGAGTCTGCTGGTTCATCTTTGAAGCCGTGGGCACATCCAACCCCCATGCGATCAGCATCCTGTCAACTGCTGGAGCATCGATCCCTGCGTCCTGAATCTGTTTCTCCAGAACTTGAACTTGTTGGTCAACCTGGTTCAACTTGTCTTTGGGAAGGTGCTTTTTCATCCATGCATTCAAGGCCCCAGAGGTGTGCGAAGTCGGGCGATGCTGTTCCAAAGTAGGGCGCGAGGACCCCACTGAAAAGGCCGCCAAGGGTCTCTGGGATGCAGAAGCAGAGGGTTCGCAAGGGTTGTCAGGCTTGGGAGGATTGGAGATTGGTTCCGGGCCACTGGGTGCGGGGAGGGCGTCGCGATTGCCTCGAAGTGTTTGGTTTTCCGCCCGAAGCATCTCCAACTCTGCCATCAAAGCAGTGGCCGTGTCAGCCGGCATCAATGTTGCCATGAACTTGATGATCTTGGGGACACATGACTTGATGGCATTCAGCCGAACACTCCAATCATCACTTGAATTACCAGCTTCATGGGACAACAGTTTGGTCAAATCCACGATGTCACTGTCTCTCATGGCGCGAACCAGTTGGGAAGCAAAAGCTGCCTCCAGGCGACTTCGGAAAGCTTCCACCGCAAGGTTGCGTCCATTGGCGAGCAACCGCATTAACCAGTTTTCTTGGGCGCCGTGCAACAGCTGGTAGAATTTGACATCCTGAACTGGCAGTCCGGCCGTGTCATTGGCACGACTGTAAGCTGTGGAGGCCACTAGCCGTGGCAGTGACAATCCATGCTGAAGCTGCGTGTCCAGATGAGCATCATCTGGGCGCCACTCCCTTGGGATTGGGAACTGCCGTTCCCAAGGTCCAGCAGTGCCCGGTCGTCGCCTGTCCACTGGCTCCCGGCCCCGAGGGCTACGAGAGCGCCGAGAAGGACTGCGGGCCCGGCCACCGTAACCCTGAGCCTTAGACTCCTTGTTGCCCCGGTCTCTGGTAGAGCGACGCGATGACTGCCCTTTATTATGGCTCCGGCGCTCTCTGGTTCGAGAGCGTGAATCCCCACGGCCCATTTCTATGAAACAACTGGGGGACAAGTGCTAGCTGGGTTCGAACCACTTATGATAAGGTAAAAGTCATCTCAATTCACAGCGGTTTCAATGCTTTATGACATCTCAATTCAAACGCCCTCTGGCAGATTTCGCAGCAACGCAGCAAGACTGGTCTTCAAAACCAGCAAGCCAAACGCATGGACATGTGAAGTGACAGTCTGACCGCAAACGACACGAGAGCCAAATTACTTTTCTTTTCTTTACGTTCCAAGTTGGTCATGGTTTGCGCTGCTCCAGGCCACGTGTAGCCAAAGTAGGTGTTACATTTAACACATGTCAAGAAAGCAACATTGACACATGTCAAGAAAGCAACATTGATAAAGGTTCACCGCCTGGGAACAAACGCCGCCAGCCCTAAGCATTGAGCAAGATGTGACTTAATTAGCCATCTCTTGTCTCCTGTTCCGTGGACACAATCAAACATGAGGTTTGCAGCGTGCTCCGCGAGCACACCTCCTTGCTTGACTGTGTAATGGGGCTGACGCAAATGCGCCTTCCCGAAAACTGCTACTGATCGAGGCTGGCATATATCCCCGTAGCCCCAAGCTTTGCGCGTACTGCATATAAGAGCAGCCCTGAATGCATAGTCTGAGAAATTTTCTGCCACATGCGCCCTTGAATAGAACCCACACGTCGGCAACCAGCTGTCATCAGAGGGGTCCCAGCATGAGGGTCGCACAATCCCTTCTTTCAGAATCATTGCAGCTGCCGCTACTCCAGTGTTGTGGGTCCAAGCCACAACACTCCGCGGAGGGGGCAAGTTGATATCTGGGTGCACAGGATGCAGGTAAACCAAAAGTGCCTTGGGTTGAGAATTGACTGCTATCACCTCAACTCCCTGAAAATGTCCTCAGACCACACCAATACCTTGGCCAGCTGAATGACTACCGCCTGAATCTCTGCAGAATTAGCATCTAAATCAGGGTGTTGTTCTTTAAAGGCAGAAAAGAGCCAATTTGTTGAAAAGGGTAGGCAGGCGGCTTGAAGGCTGGGGTGAGTGAATCCGCGAGCAGGTGTCAAATACTCCAAACACGGTTGCACCTTGCCGTCATCAGTGAAGCAAGCTGATCCCATTTCCACAGCGGATTTGATACGCCGCGGGTCCTCGACCATGAACTTGCGGAATGCCAGGAACACATCATAAACCTGCCACCATGGAGTCTTCCTCAAATCCTCCCAAATAGTGAGGTACAATCCAGCAAACTGAAATGGCAGAAAATGTTCCGGCTGCTGATGCGACTCTGCTTCAGCCGTCCCCAAATGCGAAATGACTGTGCGAGACCGGTCTGTTGGTCGAAACCACATCCAGGTTGTGTTGCCATCTTTTGGATTTAAAGGAACTGCATCAGCCGGTACATAATCGGGGCGTTGTTCAAGTGAAAAAGGGGGGACCTGGTGAGGGGGAAGTGCATGAGGTGGCTCAGAGTGAGCAAAACACCCGCCAAAGGCCGTAGTGCTCATGAGAGCAGCAGTCGCGTGCCCCAAACTAGCACCATAGGCCGCTGCGAACACTGCATCCTGCAACATCGTCCGGAACGTCTGCGGGTTATCAGACCGCAGTTCACACTGCATTGGCCCAAGTTGCAGAGTGGCTGAGCTCACAGCGCTAGGGCTCGGCACGGGCTGGTTAGGTCGGAGCACAGACCCATCAGCCATCCAGACCCCCGGAAAGTCGGGTGGAGGTGGGGCGCTTGATTTACTGCGCGCAGCCTGTATCATATCAAAGGCCATAGCAGAAACAGGGAAGCCAGAAAAGAGGTGAAACAACTCGTGAGTTTGATCAAAAAGCTCTCGCGAAAACGAGCGATGAAGCGCTAAAAGCTCCGACAAACTCAGTGACTCGGAAGGCGGAACCGTTTAAACAGGGTCACTTGAAAAGGGGGCCACTTGAAAAGGGGAACCAGTCAAACACCTGTGGTATGTTCTAAGGGTGGGGCCGCCGTAGGAGAACAGATAATACTCCATAATTGACTCTGCGGTGGAACCGCTTCATCTGCGGTATACCCCGCTTCATCTGCGGTATACCCCGCCACTCGTGGGCAGTTGCCCGAGTTCTCTCTCACAATACTTCTGGAGCCACCTCGCTCCTTCCTGGATTGAACTTTGGGCAGAGCCCTGGCAGCGTTTCTTTACCCGAAGGCTGTTCTACGGTTCCAGGGCCGTGCCCAACTCTCTTCACCAACCCCCGCGCACCATTGGGGCCGGCGGACGTCGGCACAGCACCCACATGGGCTGAACCGAGGGGGCGAACCCCATACACTGAAGATGGAGTTTGAAAAGCGAAAAGAGGTTGTGGATGTCCCAGGCCTTAAGTTGGAATCTGTTTGAGAGGGAACCCACCAGCTGCCGTCAGGGGCCCAGGTGCGGTTCGCAGGTACGTTTGCGCAGCGTCTTCGTTGGCCGCCGACTGCGCATTCCCCCGGCGGCCCCCTGCTTTCAGGATATGTTTAGCATAGCTATCCCTCGACTGGTTTGGGTTGTCACACACACACACACACACACACACACACACACACACACACACACACACACACACACACACACACACACACACACACACACACACACACACACACACACACACACACACACACACACACACACACACACACACACACACACACACACACACACACACACACACACACACACACACACACACACACACACACACACACACACACACACACACACACACACACACACACACACACACACACACACACACACACACACACACACACACACACACACACACACACACACACACACACACACACACACACACACACACACACACACACACACACACACACACACACACACACACACACACACACACACACACACACACACACACACACACACACACACACACACACACACACACACACACACACACACACACACACACACACACACACACACACACACACACACACACACACACACACACACACACACACACACACACACACACACACACACACACACACACACACACACACACACACACACACACACACACACACACACACACACACACACACACACACACACACACACACACACACACACACACACACACACACACACACACACACACACACACACACACACACACACACACACACACACACACACACACACACACACACCACACACACACACACACACACACACACACACACACACACACACACACACACACACACACACACACACACAACAACACACACACACACACACACACACACACACACACACACACACACACACACACACACACACACACACACACACACACACACACACACACACACACACACACACACACACACACACACACACACACACACACACACACACACACACACACACACACACACACACACACACACACACACACACACACACACACACACACACACACACACACACACACACACACACACACCCACACACACACACACACACACACACACACACACACACACACACACACACACACACACACACACACACACACACACACACACACACACACACACACACACACACACACACACACACACACACACACACACACACACACACACACACACACACACACACACACACACACACACACACACACACACACACACACACACACACACACACACACACACACACACACACACACACACACACACACACACACACACACACACACACACACACACACACACACACACACACACACACACACACCACTCGCACCCGCAGCAGCACCCGCACATGCACACGCACTGGCACAACGCGCAACGCACACAAGCAGCACACACAACACAACACGCACACACGCACGGCAAACGCAAAGACGGACACAAAAGCGCAGAAACCTGGCTCAAGCTATTATTGAAAGTCCGCTGTGACGCTCCAGTCCTTTGGGACGATTGCGTCTCGATCGGGAAAGCTGCATGGTGGGGCAATCTCTTGGTTGCGCCTTGCTAGCGCCGAGTCCTGTGCACTCTTTGCAAGATCGGGCGGTTATTGTAAAGAACGCACTTTTTCAGGGCAGTGCAATCGTAATGCATGCCCAGAACTTGTTTTGTCAAACTGCGAAATGATAGGCAGTGAGACATTGCTGGCCACTATGTCTATGTGAACAATCAAGGAATTGGCAGGAATATCATATATATATATATATATATGTATATGTAATTGTGCATCATCTCGCCTCACCCTGCGTGGGCAAAGCCTCTTTTTGCGGGAAAAGTTGCGGAGCGTCCGGCGGGTGAGTGAGGCGCTTGGGGACATGTGCTACCGCTTTGGTCATAGATGAACGACTGCTCAAGACCAATCAGCGCGTTTTCGCAGTGTTATTGGGACCCAGCCAAACCACTTGGGGAAGTGTCTACATATTGATATATATATATATATGTAGACATGAAGGAATCTAAACACAACGCGAAGAAACCTTAATACCGGTTTCAAGGTTTTTCAGGGGGCATTTCTGGATTCAAGATTTCTCTCCAAAGTCCCTCAGCAGTCTTGGATCTCAGATCCAGATTCCTTGTTACCGGGTATCAAGCGAAATGCACGACGGTGCCAAGAAACCCACGGTGCTGGGAAACCTTCATACCGGTTTTAAATTTCACGGGTTCAATGAGAACATTTCCCCTCAAAGCAGAAGTCCTGCATTGTGGATCTGCGTACTGTATTGAAATGTTTAGATTCAGCAGTCATAATTGCAGGGGGCAAGTTGATAAAAAAGTTTCACAACCATTTTCATGGGCAAGCTTCCGTGTTGAATATCCTTCGTTTTCCGGACAAAGCTTTCCTGGGCAATTGTGATTATTGAATCTTGGAAAGATGCTTCTCCTTTTTGTTCCAGGGATACTCAAGTTTTCTTTCTTGGTCCCGTTTCTGTAATTTCCCCAGGGTTTGGCATGTCTACATCTTTTGCAATGCTTGTTTTAGTTTCTTGTTGTAATGGAATTCCGTTGTGTCCAAAACCAGAGTAACATGGCTGCATACACTATACTATAGTCTTAATCTGACTCTCTGGCCTTCTTTCTGGAGTCAAGATTATGGAGAAAACTTTCCTGGGCAATTGTGAATCTTGAATCCAGAACATACATTTCTTGTGCAAGAAGTACCCTCTTTTTTTTGCCCAGAGAAACTTGCTCACTTCCTGAAATGAGCAGTGCCAGCTTTGCCAGCACCCATCCCTACATGTGAACTTTCAGATACTGTATGTTTCAATTCAAAGGCTTTCTCCGCTCCATCTCAAAAGGATGTCAACATGGCATGCAACCATCCATTTGTATTTGGAGGGGCCGCCCGTTTGGCACATTCGCTTTCTTTGCACTGGCCTTGTGGTAGCCTCGGACGCTGCTGTTCTGCGCTCAAGATGAGATAGATGGTGATGAAAGACACCTCGAGCGAGGACTCCACAACGGAATGCAGCACCAGCACCGCATCGAGTGCATGCCTCCAAGAGGCGAGGGAGAGATCAGCCTGCCTCTGGCGTCCGACAAACGTGCCTAGCTGTTTGGCCCACTTATTGTATCAATTCGTCTTCAGTTCCCAGATCGGCTTCAGGTAGCTTCAAGTATGATTCAAGTGCAAAACTGGTTTGGTATTTGTCGACTTTCTTTGACACTTCCGAGGTTGGATAGCGAAGACGGAAAACTGGGGGATCGTTTGGCATGTGTGAGCTCTTTCTTGCAGTTGCTTAAAAGCATCCAACAATTGCCAACCCTTTTTGTAAAGAGACACACCGACTGTTTGGGGACATTACCCCGAAATATCGAGACTCTAGGTAAGCGCCGGCAGCTGCACATCCTTTCGGGTTAAAGCGACGGCTTCGATATCCGTCGACGCCCAAGCGAATTGTCATGTTGATGCCCAAAAACGTAAACACTGCCTGGAGCCACCCATTTCGCATTGCTATCCACTGAACTCTGCTAGAAGCAGAGATGTTTTTCTTCAAGCGGAACCCAAGGAGACAAGCTATTCGGAGGGGCCACCAATCTCAGCAGCTGGCTTGCCTACGAGCACAGAACACGCACACACACACACACACATGTAGACACATATATGCAGAAAGTTGCATGATGTGATATACTGTCATATCGATGCAGGCCTGCTTGCACGCATGCAGGCAGGCAGTCAGACATAGGTACACGCATACACGTATCACGCTGACACATGCATACTTGCATAGATACGTACGTATAGACTAGACATAGCGCAACTTGTTGTCCATGCATGATTGTTTGACCTTTACGGCGTGTCATATCGATTCAACTGTGCGTTAGACTGCGAGCGTATGCTACGGTTGCCAGCATTGCTCTGAGATAGAAATAGTCAACACACGCTGGATAAAATCCCAGGGCAGCGTCCCGTATTCGTCTCCTCCCTCACTCAGAAACCACGACTTATCCGAACGCGCGAGGTGTTTTGAGTACCCGTTACGACGCTTCGGTACCTTTTGTTCACTGCAGCTTAATTACTAGGAGGTGGCCACGAGATGGTCTGCAGTGCGGCGGCGGGCGTGGTTGAGGTGCCGGGGAGATGATGATCGGGGTGTGGAACTGGGACAATGTTGCCGATACTTTAGCGCCTCCGGCTCAGTCCGCCGACACTACCGGCCTGGTTTCTTATTTGCGTCCTTTTGGAATTGTCCCCTTCCCCCCCTCCCCTCTAAGATCTTTCCCCCGGTCCCCCCGAGATCTTCTCCCCCTTTTCCTCCCTAAGATCTTTTCTCCCCTTTCCCTGTTGAGATCCTTTCCCCCCTTTTCCCCCGAAGGCCTTTTCCCCCCTTGAGATCTTCTCCCTTTTCCTCCTAAGATCTGTTCCCCCCATCCTTTCCCCCCTTTCCCCCCCTAAGGCCTTTTCCCCCCTTGAGATCTTCACCCTTTTCCTTCGTAAGATCTTTTCCACCCTTTCCCTGTTGAGATCCTTTCCCCCCTTTCCCCCCTACGGCCTTTTCCCCCCTGAGATTTTCTCCCTTTTCCTCCCGAAGATCTTTTCCAACCTTTCCCTGTCCCCCCTAAGGCCTTTTCCCCCCTTGAGATCTTCTCCTTTCCTTCCTAAGATCTTTTCCCCCCTTTCCCTGTTGAGATCCTTTCCCCCCTTTCCCCCCGAAGGCCTTCCCCCCCCTGAGACCTTCTTCCTTTTCCTCCCTAAGATCTTTTCCACCCTTTCCCTGTTGAGATCCTTTCCCCCCTTTCCCCCCTAAGGAGATCTTCTCCCTTTCCTCCCTAAGATCTTTTCCCCCCTTTCCCTGTTGAGATCCTTTCCCCCCTTTCCCCCTAAGGCCTTTTCCCCTCCTGAGATGTTCTCTCTTTTCCTCCCTAAGATCTTTTCCCCCCTTTCCCTGTTGAGATCCTTTCCCCCCTTTCCCCCCTAAGGCCTTTTCCCCCCTTGAGATCTTCTCCCTTTCCTCCCTAAGATCTTTTCCACCCTTTCCCTGTTGAGATCCTCTCCCCCCATTCCCCCCTAAGGCCTTTTCCACCCTGAGATTTTCTCCTTTCCTTCCTAAGATCTTTTCCCCCCTTTCCCTGTTGAGATCCTCTCCCCCCATTCCCCCCTAAGGCCTTTTCCACCCTGAGATTTTCTCCTTTCCTTCCTAAGATCTTTTCCACCCTTTCCCTGTTGAGATCCTCTCCCCCCATTCCCCCCTAAGTGTTGAGATCTTTTCCCCCCTTTCCTCCCCTGAGACCTTTTCCTCCCTAAGATCTTTTCCACCCTTTCCCTGTTGAGATCCTTTCCCCCTTTCCCCCCTAAGGCCTTTTCCTCCCTGAGATTTCTCCCTTTTCCTCCCTAAGATCTTTTCCAACCTTTCCCTGTTGAGATCCTTTCCCCTTTCCCTGTTGAGATCCTTTCCCCGCTTTCCCCCAAAGGCCTTTTCCCCCCCTGAGATCTTGCCCCTTTTCCTCCTAAGATCTTTTCCCCCCTTTCCCTGTTGAGATCCTCTCCCCTCATTCCCCCATGGCCTTTTCCTTTGCTGAGATCTTCCCCCGTTTCCTCGCTAAGATCTTGTCCCACCCTTCCCCTTCCAAGATCTGTTCCCCATGTCCCCCCTGAGATCTTTGCCCCCCCTTCCCCCCAACATCTCTTCTCCCCTTTCCCTCCTTCCCCCTCCTTCCCCTCTAAACCTTTCCCCCCACCCTTCCCCTAGCATGTCTTCCCCCCTTCTCAAACCCCCTTATAGGATCTTTTTCCTCCTTTGCCCTCCTAACATCTCTTCCCCCCTTCCCCCCTCTCCCCACCTGAGATCTTGTCCCCTTCCCCCCTTGTAGATCTTTTCCTTTGCCCCCCTTTGCCCCCAAAGATCTCCCCCACCACTCTTCCCCCCTAAGATTGTTTCCCATTGCGAAGGGTTCTTCCGGTAAAATCGCCAGCCTTATCACACAGCTAAACTTGCACGAGCCAACTTGCACCAGCCTTCTCGCACAGCCAAACTTACACGAGCCAACTTACACGAGCCAACTTGCACGAGCCAACTTGCTCGAGCCAACTTGCGCAGCCAACTTACACGAGCCAACTTGCACGAGCCAACTTGCGCGAGCCAACTTGCTCGAGCCAACTTGCACGAGCCAACTTGCACGAGCCAACTTGCTCGAGCCAACTTGCACAGCCAACTTACACGAGCCAACTTGCACAGCCAACTTGCACGAGCCAACTTGCCCGAGCCAACTTGCATGAGTCAACTTGCACGAGCCCGCTTACACGAGCTAACTTGCACGAGAACAACTTGCACTAGATGAGCCAACTTACGCGAGCCAACTTGCACGAGCCAACTTGCTCGAGCCAACTTGCACGAGCCAACTTGCTCGAGCCAACTTGCGCAGCCAACTTACACGAGCCAACTCGCACGAGCCAACTTGCTCGAGCCAACTTGCACAGCCAACTTACACGAGCCAACTTGCGCGAGCCAACTTGCTCGAGCCAACCTGCACAGCCAACTTACACGAGCCAACTTGCGCGAGCCAACTTGCACGAGCCAACTTGCGCGAGCCAACTTGCATGAGTCAACTTGCACGAGCCAACTTACACGAGCCAACTTGCACGAGAACAACTTGCACGAGATGAGCCAACTTACGCGAGCCAACTTGCACGAGCCAACTCGCGCGAGCCAACTTGCACAGCCAGCTTGCACGAGCCAACTTGCACGAGCCAACTTGCTCAAGCCAACTTGCGCAGCCAACTTACACGAGCCGACTTGCACGAGCCAACTTGCACGAGCCAACTTGCCCGAGCCAACTTGCATGAGTCAACTTGCACGAGCCAACTTACACGAGCCAACTTGCACGAGAACAACTTGCACGAGATATCACACAGCCAAACTCGCACGAGACATTTGGACACGAAAGTAATTAGTTAGTCTCTAAAGGCAGCGCGGTTGGACCGAACCCAACCTGCGAAAATGACACCCTCTGCGGGGATCGGCGTGGTCGATGTCCAAAAGCTGAGGACTTTTTACGATGTATGATTTGCCCGCGCGATGCTGTGCGGGGATTGGCGTGGTCGATGTCCAAAAATTGAGGACTTTTTACGATTTCTGAGGTGCCCCCACAACCCTCTGCGATGTGCAAAAACGCGACCCTCTGCGGGGATTGGCGTGGGCGATGTGCAAAAACTGAGGACTTTTTACGATTTCTGACTTGCCCGCGCGACCCGCGAGGATTGGCGTGGTGGATCGCACGAATTGCTGGTAAAATGCCACTTTTTCAAGTCGGAACGCGGGCTTGAGAGTTTGTCTCGTGGTTACGCGCCTGCTCTTCAAAAAGACGGCCCCGGGCTCGAATCCTGCTTGGTCTCCGCGGCCTTTAAGTTAGAAAGTCAGCAGCGCGAAAGTGGCTCACAAAGGCTGCACTCGTAGCTCCGGCTCAAATCGAAAGTTTGCCATGTTGCGGTCAGCGCTGCACGCAGAGAACTTGCTCGGAGAACTTGCTCATAGAAACTTGTCCCGAGCTTGCGCAGCATACTTTTGCGCAGCACTTGCGCATCGCAACTTGCTTAGAGCACTTGCACCCGCAGAGCAACTTGCGCTGAACACTTGGGCCGAGCACTTGCGCAGAGCAACACTTGTATAGAGCTCGCAACACCGAAGCTTATCAGTCACCGAGGGGCAAACTTTGCAGATATCCGCGGTAGCACACGCGCACGCACGTGCGCAAGTGTGACACACACACACACACCCACGCACGCACGCAGAATTACTTGCATCATCCGCATCCTTGGCAGGCGCTGATGCAGGCGCTGATGCGGATGATGCAGGTGATGCTGGCGATGTTGCCCAGGAGATGCTGAGGATGCAAAAACGGACCCGGGGGAATCGAACACCCCAACGTTTTGACGCAGCTATGTTCCGCACAGCCCCCAGAAGAAAGGATTTAGTGGAACGTCTTGGAATCACCGCGTGGTACGTGGCCACCCCCCCCCGGCAATAGTCTGACGGGGGAAAGGGGAGGCGTACCAGGCAAAGAGGTAAGGAGCGTTTCTTATGTCCAACACGCTGTCTGTTGTCGGCGGATTTTTGAAGGCAGATGGTGCCGTCTTTTTGTTCATCGCCAGCCATTCCAAATTTTCACCCTGCCCGACATCGTTGGTAATTTTCCACCGAACAAAGCCTCAAGGACTTCTGCTACATGTCAAAACATTTTTCTTGGGCCCTGAGCAAAAAGGGTCTATGCAACAAACCGTTGACACGAACACGCAGATGCACACACGCACACACACACACACACACACCCACATGTAGCCAATGCAACGAAATTGCTTGCTGAAGACGTTGAAATGCCAAAGCTGGGTCCAGGACATCAAGGTGACTGAGCATGTGACACGGAGGAGTGTCGGTATGTAAATGTGAGTGTGAAAGCCATGGTTGCAAAAAACAGCAAAAGCCAGAAGAATCGTATGGCTGCGGCAATCTTGCGAGCCAAAGTGCAAACGTGAATTTATATCGTTGCAAATCAACTTCCAGCACAACAACCCACTCCCCACCCACCACTACTTTCACTCTTCTCCCCCCCCCCCAACCACCCCCCCCTCACAACCCCCCCCCCACAACCCCCCCCCCTCACCGCCCCCCCCCCTCCCAAACCACCCACCCCATACCTCCCTTCCTGTCGTAGTTTAGCAAACAAATGTACACGGTTTTTAGGCAAGCGCCCTTTCTGGATCCATACTCTTGGGCCGGCCTTTAACAACCATAGGACTTGAGAACTACAGTAAAGGAAATCCAAGGGCGAAGAGCTGTGAAGGGTAAGCGCCAGCACACATATACACACACACACATGCACAGACATGTTGATTCTTGCCCCCCCCCCAATCCCTAAGCAACCATGCTGGAAGCCCAACAAGTTGTGTTGTGCTGTGTTTCTAGATTCGTGCTGGTGACTTGCTCATGTCAAGTGTTGACATGTGTTGTCGTATCAGTCTGCAATGTTGTTTGTTCTACTCCAGACGTTGTCTTGTTCTGTTTCATTTTACAAGCGAATCGTTACAGCGTGCTATCAGGGCAAGGGCATTGTCCAAGTTTGGAGAGCCCTTTTGGTAGGATATGTTTGCCCTGCTCGCAAATCGCACTGGTGCAGTGCAAAGCAAGGCAGCCACTGGAGCTTAAAGGAATTGCATTGCAGCATGAGCTAGGGATAGCCAGGGTCAAGATACCCAGCAGCTTACGGCTCGCAGGGCTTATGAGGAGTAAACCACCAGTCCCCCTACTTGCATCCCATTGAATTTGGGCGCACAACCGTGGCTCTAGGCCGTCCAGCTCTGACGGATGCTTTACTCCTGACAGAAACATCAAGTAAAAGGCCCACAGGGCTCCTCGGCCTGCGGATGCCTCAAGCCCCCAGCCAGGTCGGCTGCTGCCACTCTGCTGGCGTTGGCCGCAATCTTTGTGCCGGTGTGCACGTACGCAGCCTTTTGGACGTTCACATGAGCGGGGGCCGGAGGGGGGGGTGGGGAACTGCCTACGCCCATTGAGCGTGTAGGTTGAGTTGGATCTAATGTAACGGACTTCTGTTGCAAACGGACTCATCCGTTACACTTTCATACTTCCACAAGCCCAGGTGTGACAGGTGTTTCCCGTGTTTCCCGTGTTTCCCGTGTTTGCCTGGATCGCTGACCGGGGCACTCGAGGCGTCTGAGATGTGCTCCCGGGAGGTGGCAATGCCCTACACACAACATTCCTTGTCCCTGGAGGAGCCAGCAACGCGGCTGAGCCGCAAGTCCTCGCCTTTCAGGGAGCTCGACACTTTTTCAGAGAGGATGGTATTTCCCCAAACAGTTTACTGTGAGGGGTTCTAAATTCATTTAAGGTGGCTCGCCTGTTGCCAAGCCCTAGCCTGGATGCCTGGCACAGCTCTCTGGGTGGACGGGTTCATTTGTCTCCCTGTGTCTCCCTTCATTTGTCTCCCGTTGTCTCCCCGCCTGGATGCCTGGCACGGCTCTCTGGGTGGACGCGTTCGTTTGTCTCCCTGGGTTCACTTGTCTCCCTTTGTCTCCCTTCATTTGTCTCCCGTTGTCTCCCAGCCTGGATGATCCAGTCTGGGTGGACGGGTTCATTTGTCTCCCTTTGTCATTTGTCTCCCGTTGTCTCCCAGCCTGGATGCCTGGCACGGCTCTCTGGGTGGACGGGTTCATTTGTCTCCCTTTGTCTCCCTTCATTTGTCTCCCAGCCTGGATGCCTGGCGCGGCTCGGGTTCATTTGTCTCCCTTTGTCTCCCTTCATTTGTCTCCCGTTGTCTCCCAGCCTGGATGCCTGGGTGGACAGATTCACTTGTCTCCCTTTGTCTCCCTTCATTTGTCGCCCGTTGTCTCCCTGGATCTGGCACGGCTCTCTGGGTGGACGGGTTCATGTGTCTCCCTTTGTCCCCTTCATTTGTCTCCCGTTCTCTCCCAGCCTGGATGCCTGGCGGCTCTCTGGGTGGACGGGTTCATTTGTCTCCCTCTTTGTCTCCCTTGATTTCTCCCGTTGTCTCCCAGCCTGGATGCCTGGCACGGCTCTCTGGGTGGACGGGTTCATTTGTCTCCCTTTGTCTCCCTTCATTTGTCTCCCGTTGTCTCCCAGCCTGGATGTCTGGCGCGGCTCTCTGGGTGGACGGGTTCATTTGTCTACCTTTGTCTCCCAGGATGTCTGGCACCCCTTTGTTTCCCTTCATTTGTCTCCCGTTGTCTCCCAGCCTGGATGCCTGGCAGTGTTTTTTTGGTGGCCTTCATTTGGCTCCTGTTGTCTCCCAGCCTGGATGTCTGTCACGGCTCTCCAGGCGGACGGATTCACTTGTCTCCCTTGGTTCCCCTTCATTTGTCTCCCATCTCTGTGGGTGGACGGATTCATTTGTTTCCCTTTGTCTCCCTTTATTTGTCTCCCGTTGTCTCCCAGCCTGGATGCCTGGCACGGCTCTCTGGGTGGACGGATTCATTTGTCTCCCGTTGTCTCCCAGCCTGGATGTGTGGCACTCACGCTCCGCGGTTTCCTTCACTTCCCGCGGTTCTGTCCTTTTGGCGGGGTCTGGTTTGCCTTCGGCTTTGGCCCTGGCTTCGGTCATTCCTTGTCTTGTGGATGTTGGGGACAGGGTCCTCCTCTGTCTGCCCTTCATCTGGACTTCGATTTCGCTTGGGCTCGTGGTGGGTCGTCTTCCTTGTCTATCGTTGGCTACACCCTGTCTGTTCGTTCAGTGCCTCGTTATCAGTTGCGGTCCCGAGCTGACGATAGCGGTGCGCTGCGGTGCGCGGCTTCAGCTACGAGAAGGCTCTGTTAACCCCCCGGTGAAACAAACGTGAATCACGCTGGAGTTAAATCCTCTATCGATTCTTCGAGGATGTTCAACGAACCTTACGCTGAGATACCCAGTGGTGCTCTTGGCACCTGGGGTTGTCCCGGCTCTCCCGGCGGACGGGTTCATTTGTCTCCGTCTCCCTCCATTTGCCTGACGGATTCATTTGTCTCCCTTTGTCTCCCTTTATTTGGCCCCGGTTGTCTCCCAGCCTGGACGCCTGTTACGGCTCTCTGGGGTGGAGGGGTTCATTTGTCTCCCTTTGTCTCCCTTCATTTGTCTCCCGTTGTCTCCCAGCCTGGATGCCTGGCACGGGTCTCTGGGTGGACGGGTTCATTTGTCACCCTTTGTCTCCCTTCATTTGTCTCCCGTTGCCTCCCAGCCTGGATGCCTGGCACGGCTCTCTGGGTGGACGGGTTCATTTGTCTCCCTTTGTCTCCCTTCATTTGTCTGGCACGGCTCTCTGGGCTTTGTTAGCCTGGATGTCTGGCACGGCTCTCCAGGCGGACAAATTCACTTGTCTCCCTTTGTCTCCCTTCATTTGTCTCCCGTTGTCTCCCAGCCTGGATGCCTGGTCACTTGTCTCCCTTTGTCTCCCTTCACTCCCATTCATGTGGGTGGACCGATTGATTTGTCTTCCTTTGTCTCCCTTTATTTGTCTCCCGTTGTCTCCAAGCCTGGATGCCTCTCTGGGTGGACGGATTCATTTGTCTCCCTTTGTCTCCCTTTGTTTGTCTCCCGTTGTCTCCCAGCCTGGATGCCCCTCTGGGTGGACGGATTCATTTGTCTCCCGTTGTCTCCCAGCCTGGATGTGTGGCACTCACGCTCCGCGGTTTCCTTCACTTCCCGCGGTTCTGTCCTTTTGGCGGGGTCTGGTTTGCCTTCGGCTTCGGCCCTGGCTTCGGTCATTCCTTGTCTTGCGGATGTTGGGGACAGGGTCCTCTGTCTGCCCTTCATCTGGACTTCGATTTTGCTTGGGCTCGTGGTGGGTCGTCTTCCTTGTCTATCGTTGGCTACACCCTGTCTGTTCGTTCAGTGCCTCGTTATCAGTTGCGGCCTCTCTCTGTCCTTGCTCGCATTTGGAGTCCCGAGCTGACGAGAGCGGTGCGCTGCGGTGCGGCTTCAGCTACGAGAAGGCTCTGTTAACCCCCCGGTGAAACAAACGTGAATCACGCTGGAGTTAAATCGTCTATCGATTCTTTGATGATGTCAACGAACCTACGCCGAGATACCCAGTGGTGCTCTTGGCACCTGTTCATTTGCCTGACAGATTCATTTGTCTCCCTTTGTCTCCCTTTATTTGGCCCGGTTGTCTCCCAGCCTGGATGCCTGTCACGGCTCTCTGGGTGGACGGATTCGTTTGTCTCCCAGCTTGGATGTCTGGCACAGCTCTCTGGACGGGTTCATTTGTCTCCCTTTGTCTCCTTCTTGTTGTCCCCCAGCCTGGATGCCTGGCACGGCTCCCTGGTCATTCGCGGTGTATTCCGCGGGCACGCATGTGTGTTTGAGGCTCAGAAACGTGTGTTTGAGCGCGCGCGTGCGCTTGATCAAGCCACAGGCAGCATGCTGCGGATGCACGTACGAGTGCTTCAAGTAAATGATTGTGTGTTTTTGGTGTGTTCCAGCTGACCACATCGGCGCGTTCCAAGTGAACACGCACTTTTTGCATGTGACCACATGAGTGTGTTCCACGTCAGCACATGTTTGTGTTCCAGGTGAAAGCATGCGATTGTTCTGATAAAACACATATGCGATCCGGTCAAAATTCCTAGTAAGGGGGTTTAGTCTACAGAGGCCACCGTCGCAGTCACTTTGTGCAGTTTTTCATTCACACAAAGCGGAGTCCTGCAAATACCAATGGATTGCCCGCTCCCCACTGGAGGCGCTAGGATGGCGCTTGGTTTGCGCTAGGGTCTTCGGTGATCTTGGTTTCCAAGAGTTGGCGCGTGGGTTGCCGCGATGGGCTTTGCGTGGCTTTCAAGGGTGTAATGTTGCAGTTCTTACTTAGTACTTGAAGCCAGCCCGCACGTTTACCTTCATCTTACGTGGCCTTAATTTGTCAAATCCACACAGATGGTCGCCGTGACTCCAAAAAATACGGCGAACCCGCGCTAGCCGCGCGCTAGCAAGGCGCTAGCGCAGTGGTCAGCTGTGACCGGTTCCCAGTTACGCTTCAATCCCAATTTGCTTCCGCTCTCCTCGCATGCAATTATCATGGAGTGCGATTTGCTGGACAAAGGGGAGAAACAACGGCTGAGGCAAGACGGCAGGGATGCCTTGTACCGAGCATACGGAAGAATTGGGTTGCGTATTTCCCTGCGAAAGCAAATGCTTTACTGAATCGATACGAAGAGTTGCCACAATACGATCAAAGCACTTTAGCAATCGATACGAAAGACACTGTGCAGCTAAGCGAGAAAGAAGCGCAATGCGCCGGAAAGCTTTTGCTAAGCTGAAGCCTGTAACTGCTGGAGACGCATCCGATACTGATAGTACTAGCAGTAGTAGCAGCAGCAGCAGCAGCAGGCTCGCGCGCTAGCAATGTGTTGCAAAAAAGCTAGATTGATCGTACACGAACACTATTTTCCTACTTGGAACACGCATATAAAACACAAGCGTTGTTCAAGGCAGAGCCCCATGGAATAGCGCCTCACAGCCGGCTTCGGGAACTTGATTTATGTGTCGCCCAGGCGTGCAGGAAATGTAAATTCCATGTGAACACATTTTTGTTGTCCAGGTGAACGCATGTGTGTTGCACATTTGTGTTGCACATGTTTCTCCACATGTGCACACACGTGTGTTCCATGTGTACACATATGTGTGTTACAAGTCAACACAGAAGTTTGTTCTGGTTAAACATGCTTGTGTGATCCAGGTCTGCACCAGTGTCGCACGTGAACACAAATGCCTGTTCCAAGTGAGCGCATATATGGGTTCCAGGTGAACACATATGTGTGTTGCAGGTGAACAGAAATGTGCTTTCCAGACATACACACATATGTGTTCCAGGTGTACGCATGTGTGTGTGTGCGTGTTCCGGGCGCGCATATATATATATATGTGTGTGTGTGTGTTCGCGTGTGCACATATGTGTGTTCCACATGTACACATATGTGCGTTCACGTGCGCACATATGCGTGTTGCACGTGTACACATATGTGTGTTCACGTGTACACACATGTGTGTTCTTATCAGACACGTGTATGTGTTCCAGGAGAACACATGTTTGTTATCAGATGAACACGTGCGTGTGTGTCTGCTCCGCGTGCACTTTTTTTGTATGTGTGTTCACGTGCACACATTGTGTGTTCACGCGTGCGCACATGTGCGTTCCAACTGGACACGTGTTTGTGTTCCAGGAGGACACATGTTTGTTATCAGATGAACACGTGTGTGTGTGTGTGTCTGCTCCGCATGCGCATGTGTGTGTGTTCATTTGCACACATATGTGTGTTCCACGTGCACACATTTGTGTGTTCACGTGTCCACACATGTGTGTTCCAATTGGACACGTGTTTGTGTTTCAGGTGAATACATGTTTGTTTTCAGATGAACGCACGTGTGTGTGTGTGTTCCGGGTGCGCATATATATGTGTGTGTGTTCACGTGTACACATATGTGTGTTCACGTGTACACACGTCTGTGTTCCAATTAGACACACGGTTGTGTTCCAGGAGAACACGTGTTTGTTATCAGATGAACACTCGTGTGTGTCTGTGTTTTCCGCGCGCGCATAAATGTGTGTGTTCACATGTGCAGTACACATGTGTGTGTTCCACGTGTGCTGTGTTCACGTGTACACATATGTGTGTTCACGTGTGAGAACACGGTTTGTTATCAGATGAACACTCGTGTGTGTCTGTGTTTTCCGCGCGCGCATAAATGTGTGTGTTCACATGTGCAGTACACATGTGTGTGTTGCACGTGTGCACATGTGTGTGTTCACGTGTGCGCATTTGCGTCTCCCACGTGTACACATATGTGTGTTCACGTGTACACACATGTGTGTTCCAATGGACACGTGTTTGTGTTCCAGGTGAACACATGTTTGTTTTCAGATGAACACTCGTGTGTGTGTGTTCCGGGTGCGCGTATATATGTGTGTGTTCACGTGTACACATATGTGTGTTCACGTGTACACACGTCTGTGTTCCAATTAGACACACGGTTGTGTTCCAGGAGAACACATGTTTGTTATCAGATGAACACGTGCGTGTGTGTCTGCTCCGCGTGCACTTTTTTGTATGTGTGTTCACGGCACACATTGTGTGTTCGCGCGTGCACACATGTGCGTTCCAACTGGACACGTGTTTGTGTTCCAGGAGGACACATGTTTGTTATCAGATGAACGCGTGTGTGTGTGTGTGTGTCTGCTCCGCGTGCGCATGTATGTGTGTTCATTTGCACACATATGTGTGTTCCACATGTACACATTTGTGAGTTCATGTGTCCACACATGTTTGTTCCAATTGGACACGTGTTTGTGTTTCAGGTGAATACATGTTTGTTTTCAGATGAACGCACGTGTGTGTGTGTGTTCCGGGTGCGCATATATATATATAAATATGTGTGTGTTCACGTGTACACATATGTGTGTTCACGTGTACACACGGTTGTGTTCCAATTAGACACACGGTTGTGTTCCAGGAGACCACGTGTTTGTTATCAGATGAACACTCGTGTGTGTCTGTGTTTTCCGCGCGCGCATAAATGTGTGTGTGTGTGTTCACATGTGCAGTACACATGTGTGTGTTCCACGTGTGCACATGTGTGTGTGTGTGTGTTCACGTGTGCGCATTTGCGTCTCCCACGTGTACACATATGTGTGTTCACGTGTACACACATGCGTGTTCCAATTGGACACGTGTTTGTGTTCCAGGAGAACACATGGTTGTTATCAGATGAGCACACGGGTGTGTGTTCCGGGTGCACATATATGTGAGTGTTCACGTGTGCACATATGCGTGTTCACGTGTGCACATATGTGTGTTCCACGTGTACGCACATGTGTGTTCCAATTGGACACGTGTTTGTGTTCCAGGTGAACAGATGTGTGTTTCACGTGAACACATTAGTATGTGCTAGGTGAACTTTTTTTGGCATCTGACGACATATTTGCTCTCCAGGTGTGCACATGTATGCGCTCCAGAAAACGCATGATTGTTTTCGAGGTGCGCGCATGTGTGTGCGATTTAGGTGAGCATTTATGTTTGCTCACGTGTGCGCATATGTGTGTTCCACATGTACACACATGTGTGCTTTAATCGCACACGCGGTGTTCCAGGTGGACACATGTTTGTGTTCCAGTGGTATACATATGTGTGTCCCACGCGTACACACATGTGTGCTTTAATTGCGCGTCTTTGTGTTCCAGGTGAACGCATGTGTGTTCCACGTGTACACACATGTGTGTCTGAATTGGACACGCGTTTCATTGTGTTCCAAGTGAACACACATGTGTGTTCCACGTGAACGCATTAGCGTGTCGTAAGTGAACACATATGTGCGTTCCACGTTTGCACATGTGTGTGTGTGCTTTCCAAGAAGCACATGTTTGTTTTCCAGCTCAACACATTTATGCGTGTGCCGCAGGTGAATGTATACTGTTTCAGTCGTATACGTATGTGTGTTCCACGTGTACACACATGTGTGTCTGAATTGGACATGTGTGTTTGAACTGCCCATGTGACTGCGTGCTTGCGCGGCCACACTTGCGTTCACGCGCGCGCGCTCGCCCGCCATCGCGCGCGCTTGCCCAACCTCAGTTCTGGCGCGGTGCTGAAGCGCGAAGCACGCCAGCAACACACGTGCAGCAACGCAACGCGCGCCAGGTTCACGACTGCATCATTTTGATTCATCCGTGTTGAAGCGCAGAAAGCCACAAGCTGTTGGCATGTTTGTGCTCGCCCGTCAGCCCTCAACTGTTTGGGGTCTCTGCTAGTGTAATTTTGGAGTAAGGAGTAAAGCCAGGTTTCCGGCTCTGAGATATTTCGCATGTTCATTGCAGTTGAGAACAGGTGGGAGGTGGTCTTCACGGCCATCATGTCCATGATCTGCCTGGGCGCCTTGGCACCGAGCAGCCGGGGAATCCTCATCGTTTCAAGCTGTAAATCGCACTTTCGCAGGGAAAGCAAGGAAAGCGATGGATGCAAGCGGAACAAACCGAAACCCTGAGTTCCAACACGCCTCCGAACTGGGTAGCCGGACGAATCACGTGGTTGCTCAACGAGGGATTCTCGCTTCTCATGCGGGGGGAGATGACTCCAAAGTGAAGACCAGGGTGCGGGGGGGGGGGGGTGCTAGTACGGGATCAGCATCATTCCACAAGGCCGCCATCCAGAAGATGTGCCGCCTGGTTTAGTTACTTTCTGTACATTGAATCAACCCTAGCAGCGAATTCCATGTTCGTAGCGACTCGTAGCTTTTGCGGGTCGCCCACAAGGCCTGGTCTTGTACTCCCAGATGAAGTGGTGGCTGGCGAGCCCCTTCCTGATCCTGCTGCGGTGGCACGTGCTGCTGGACGCCGTCAATGTGTGGCTCTTCCACTACCTCTCCGTTCAACCTTTCTGCGCCGTGACCGCCGAATGGCAGCTGGCCATGCTCTCCTGGTTGTCAGTTTTCAGTAGCTTGGCACGGCATCGATTGGAGGCGCCCTTTTTTGCGATTTCACAAAGAAATACTGGAAAGCCATTTGGAGGAACAATCAAACACCGATCTTATCGGCTCCATTGGCAGTGGCCCCGTTGTGTTTTTTGCCTCCTTGTGCATGTCATAATATATGTATGTGTGTGTGTGTGTCTCTGTGTGTGTGTGTCTGTGTCTGGGGCGCACTCGGGGAGGGCGTCAGGCATGCGTGCAAGTTTGTGTTCGTGACCTTTGTGCTTGGAGACTGTGTCCGACCGTGCTTGAAGCAAGGCCAGATCTTCTTTTGGTGGAATAAGTTTATGGGCTTTTACATTATCAAGAACCACCTCGGCATGCTCGAGCGTGCTTTCCAGCGCTCCCTGGGCGCGAGCTTTTTGGTGCCTTGGATGTGCGCAAGGGACCATGCATGAGGGACCATGTCGTCAACCTCAACCGAAACAATGTCCTGCATTGTCCAATTTGCTATGAAGGCCATGTCACCGTGTTAGGACTTGCAACTCAGCTGCGTGTGACGGCGGTTGATGCCAGTCATCATTCATTCAGTGCAGTCAATGTCCACTAAGTCTGATTTCTTCAGGAATATTATTGGACGTGATTTGGGTGTCAGCCAAATTGCCTTCCTTAAACATCTAAACATGGAGCCGACGTCAACCCAATAACTCTGCCCTTGTAATCTAGCACAACTATTTCACGTTGCTGACGCACAACCGGGCGCGGCGGCACCGCGACGCTCAAATTCATAGCGCTTGCTCCTCAAGTGTTCGAGCTGTGGGCGTGCGCGCGAGCGGACCGCTCCTCTTCCCGTTGCTCAGGCTGTGAGCTCAAAGACTTGGACTGGCTGGCCAACTGGCCTCTTGTGTGCCAGCCAGCATCAAAATCCGACCCTGGTGACGGGAGATGCTGGGGGTGACGGGCTGCCTTCCACAAAGCATCATGCAGTTGGGCGTTGAAGTGCTGCAAAACCCAAGGTGTTGCCCCTTTCAACGCTGAACACCGGCAGCACGCACAATTCTGACGAGGCTGATTGAGATTGATTGAGGCTCCGTCGCACGTGTCTGCTTGCTCTGCTCGGCACGGCTCCACTCGGCGACGCACCGCTCCACACAGCCTGGCTCTGCGTTTCGCAGGTCATTGCGTGGCGTGTGTGGTACTGTCTTGCTTGCCTCCAGCCTTTGCTGCGCAGGGCCTTTTGCCCGCAACGTGCGCAACGCAGTCTGTTGCGATTTCACTGCAGTTTTTAAGTCCAGCTTTTTCATGCAGCACCTGGGTGTTGCCAGCAGCTCCACTCAGCATCGCCAGCGTCGCTGACATCACCAGCACCAGGCCCCTGGCAGGGCTGTCCCCGGGCACGCGGAGAACTGTCCTTGGTCAGGTACGAGCCAACAGCGCCAACATCCTTGCTGCGCCTTTGGTGGCGCTTTTCAAGTTGGAGTGTGTCTATCTATCTATCTATCTATCTATCTATCTATCTATCTATCTATCTATCTATCTATCTATCTATCTATCTATCTATCTATCTATCTATCTATCTATTTCTCCATCTTTTAAAAGTGCTGCGCTTGACACCAAACCCATACTTGACCTTGCGAAAGTGCTGCGCCTGTCAGGAAGTCTGTCCTCGCTTGCAAATGTGCTGCGCCTGCCACAAAATCTCTCCCTGACCTTGCGAACGTGCTGCGCTTGTGATGAATTCTGTACCTGACCTTGCGCGCCTGCCATGAAACCAGATCGCCTCTCGAGCAAAGTGCTGGTGCGCTTGTCACGCATTCTCACGCACAATCATGTCGCAAAACGTGCGCGCGTCTGTGCCAATGGTTGGGCCCGGCTCCGCGCCCGTTTCGCACCCGTTCCGCACCCGTTCCGCACCCGTTCCGAACCCGTCCCACGCCTGCAAAAAACAGGCGTCGCGTCTGCGAACCACGCGCAGGCCGCTCACTTTGAGCACTTTCTATTCCCACGGGCTTTGCCTGCCACGCAATCTGAACACTTGTCCTCTTCAACTCTTCTCTTTGCCTCTCTTTTCTTCCCTTCTTGTCTCTTCGCTTCTGCTTCTCTCAACTCTTCTCTTCTTTCTCTTCGCGCCAGTACTACGGCAGTTTCGTCTGACCTCAGACGCATACACATACATACATCCCTACCTGCATTACATTACATTGCATTCCATTACATTACAGTACATTATATTACATTACATTGCATTGCATTGCATTGCATTACATTGCATTCAATACATTACATTCATTACATTACATTACACTACATTACATTACAGTACAGTACAGTACATTACAGTACAGTACATTACATTACATACAAACAAACATACATAGATACTTACATAGATACATACATCGACTACACACATACATACCTACTTACCTTCATACATACATACATACATACATACATACATACATACAGACAGACAGACAGACAGACAGACAGACAGACAGACAGACAGACAGACAGGCAGGCAGACAGACAGACATACAGACATACATACATACATACATACATAGATACATGATTCATAGATACATACATACATAGATACATAGATACATAGATACATAGATACATAGATACATAGCACACACACAGAGACACAAGTTGATACACACACACACATATATACCTACGCACATACCCACATGCCCACATGCCATACCGGTAGAGCCGGCAATGCCGGTTGCGGGAAGTTTCAATCATATAAGAACGATAGTTCTCTTGCACCTTATCGTATTCCTTCCGTTTCTCTTCCCTCTCCTTTCTTTTCTTTTTCTCTTTTGTTTTTTGCTCTTTTGTTTTTCCTTTCTGTTTCCCTTCTTTCTTTATATCTTTCTGTTTTTCTTTTTCTATTTATCTATCTATCGATCGATGGGTCTCATGCTGTCTTTCTTTCTTTCCATCTATCTTTCTATCCATCTATCTACCTACCAGTCTATTCTACTTGTCTACCTATCTGTTTATTTGCCTATCCACGCACCCGTCTATCCTATCTAGCTAGCAGTCCACTCGCTTAATCAATTATCTATCAATCTACTTGTCTATGTTTCTAACTATCTATCTATCTATCTATCTATCTATTTGCTTATCTAGCTATCTACCTGCCCACTGGCTTATCTACGTATTTAGTTATCTATCTATTTGTCTATCCTCCCTCTCTCTCTCTCTCTCTCTGCCTGCTACTTGTAGTTGCTTTCATCTTTATAGTCTGTATTTTTGCTTTCTATTCTACCTGTTTGTTTATCTATTGATCAATCTACCTGTCTAACTGTCTAATATTTCTCGTTTCAATTTTTATCTATCACCATGTGCCTAATCTAACCGATGTGAATCTCTCTTCTTATCAAACTTTCGATCTATGTAATTTAGCTATCTAGCTATCTAACATCTAACTATCTTTCTTGTCACACAACCTTTCACTTAGCGCCAGTAATGCCGAAGTTTTTCTAAGCTTGTTAAGATACAGTTGGTAAATAAATATATATATATATATACAAATACGGATTTATACATGCACAGGCATGTTTATGCAATCAGGGGCCCATAGTATCATTGGACGGGATTAAGCAATCGCCATACCTTGTGTGACGAAATGATCTTGGAGTTGGTAGATCATGTTATCCCTAAGACAACATTCACTCACGGAGCCGATGTACGCGCAAGACTGCCCAAGGATCTTTTGCACATGTCGTTTGGCGTGGCAGTGCTCACAGCGAGCGTGCTCTTCGTGGTGTTCAATGCCATGCAGGGGGACGCTCACTGGCTTGTCGCTAGCGTCATAATCATTGAGATTGCAGTGGTGGCCTGGGGCTTAATTTCGAAACCCGCAAACTTGTCCACAGCTTCACATTGCGGATCCAGAGAGAATGTTTTGCTTAGTTTTTCCCCACAGCGAGAGGACTACACAGCCGAGCTTTGGAAAACCAATTCGAGGAGATTGCCCCGAACAGGCTGCTGGCGTTCACCATGTTCACTTCAAGTGAAAGGTAATAAAAGGTGGCAAATGAGAGGTGCACAGTGGATCCAGATGAGCAAAGCCTCCGGCAAAGTGAGCTTAAGGTAGCGTGATGCAGCAGACGTCATAGGGATAACTGAAAGCAGAGACCTTTCACTTCTTCTTTGAGGTCTCCACTTTGTTTGTGATGGTGCTCATGATGCGGGGCTTTGGGTTGGCCTACCGTTATGCCCGCATGGAGCGCACAGCTGCCACAAGCGAGGTGCAGCTCCCTGGCAACAAAAAAGGATTCTTAGGGCCGACTGTGCCTTGATTTTTCACGCACATACCCAAATAGCCACAATTGCAAGGCTAGCCAGCACAAAGGGCACACGAGGTTTGCCACGCGTCTGAGGAGAGAACTTGCCGCAAAGTCAGTGACATTCTCGAAGCGGATGTCTATAGAGACACCTATAAACATGATTCTGGTGGCTGCGGGCTTTACCAGCCATGCAGTGTGGCTGATTCATGTGCACTTCCCTGGCAATTCCATGTGCAAGTTCGGCCCTGCAACAGAACCTGCTCCTCGGCTGAGATTACATTTCTGACAAGTGCTTGACATGCTCTGTTAGAGTCTGACAAGATGATCGAAGATGATGGCTCCTGGATTTGTCGTTGACTTTGCTGACACTTTGAGGTCGGGCGACTGCCATCAGTGCACGTGAGCATACGGTTGCCTTTGTTGAGTCAACCAGTGTGCATTCGCTGTAGCCCAGACAGGATATGATGGCTTCCTTATTCTTGCTGTAAGGGACCGATTGTTTGGAGAATGGCCATCCCAATTTGTGCGGCTGAGGTATTCCTATTTATGGCAGTGCTCTCCCTGACCAACTGCGCGCGATTTGGCGCGATTCTGTCGTTGATGGAAGTCAGTGAGCGCAGGCCAGGTTGGCTGGTCTAAGATCTGGGGAGGGATCATGTCCACCGGGGCCACACGGAATTGAATACCTAGCTCGCATTGGATTGACTGTCACTTCCCAAGGATGTGCGCAGTAGAAAAGGTTCTTTCACTCCATGGCCTGTTCAAACGTCTTATGGACCTTGTCGTGTAAAAACAACGTGCATGTCCAATGATTGAATCGTTCAGGATGGTGCTACCGAGAAACAGTCCTGTGACCCAACATGGAACACCTTTGCTGAACGATTGTGTGCTCGCAAGCTTCGTCGCTACTTGGAAAACGCTTGCGGCATCAAGTTTTGGATACAATGTCCAGGTTGCCCAATTGGTTGCCTACTGAAAAGAAAGCTCACTTTTTCACACAGGCGCTGGATGAGGGATGCCTCTGATTTATTGATTCTTCCCATGTGCCACTGAACAAATGAACATTTAACCATTGCAGGCTTCTGGCCGCTATGCTTTGCCTCCCCGGACATTGCTGTAATTGTGGAGGTAACATATTTCCTTTCGGCCAATCTTGTGCTAGTGCGTTCATGTAAACGATACTGTACCCGTTTCGCTAGCTACCGATTGATGTTCCATTTGGTACGTTATCGATCACAGACCAACACATGGATACTCTAGAGCCTCCGGCTCAGTCCGCCGACATTTCACCGTCCACTGGAGACTCATGATGAAGGCCTTGCTTCCAGCGTTGACGCATTCTGGAACAAATTCATTGAACAGTTTGTCAGCTTCAGTGTCAGGAGGCTGTTGTGCTTTGGGGCACATCTGGCAAGCCATGAGCACACTTCCTCTCCACCTACTTTGCTTTCTTGCAGAGTTAACCCTTCTTTGAGCCCGTTTTCGGACCTGAGTGGGAATCGCCAAGCCGCCAAGCCTTTTGGGCATTGTTTGCACCTCAGCAACTGTTTATAGGGCAAGTAACAACCTAGGCTTTAGGAAGGGCGTTTTCAGCGGTCATTTGTCACGGTCTCACATCGAATTTTGATTTAGATTGAGACGCTTTGCGATGCACGGAAACGCAGGCAAGCCGAAGCTGTCGGCGGCTTTCGAAGTAAATTGAGACGCTTCGAGATGCAGCCGGCCACCGGAATCACAAGTAACGCGATTTGTTTTTTTGTTTTTGCTTTTTGGCAAAAGCAACACCAAAATCGAACACGGGGATCAGTGAGGCCTGACAACTACGCTGGTGTCCACATGCTGCCCGCCCAAAATCCAACCAAAACTGCAAAACACTATGTTGCTTCACATTTTGAACCAAACTCGTGCCCAAAACCGAGCTTGCCTGGTTGCGGCGGAAAGCGGGATTCGAGCCTGTGACCCTGGTTTTCCACGCCGGGCGGACCCCTCCCCCCCCAACCCTACGCATTTGACTTCCGGTACGCACATTTCTGCGACTTCGGATTCCTCATATTTCCTGTTGCCATGATAAACCACCACTAAAGCAGCCTTATGCAGTTCGTAGGAAGGGATGACCCCGGTGGGTTACACATCGTGGCGCGGCCACCCTCTTGTTTGTTATGGCTTTTGGCATGTGCGGAAGCCGATTGGCACCTAATTTGCGAGGGCAAGCAACTCCTTCATTCTGTATTGATATGGCATTGATATGCACTCATAGCACTGTCGCGTCTTCCGTGCCAGGAAAAGGGCGGGCACGTGGCGGAAAGGCTTATCTATGATGCTTTCTTCTTCCAGGGACCTTGAGGACATCTGCTCTCACGATCTGAAATGTCCAGCTAGCGTAAGGCCCAGCGTAATTGAGCCGTCCTTAGTTTGATAGAGCATGGACAAGTTTTTACTGCCAAAGCTTTGAGGAGCCCCTGCACGGGTGCTAGAAGTTGTTTGAGTACCACACATTTGCTTCTGTCCACAAGGTCTGTCATGTTGGCTGTGCATCGCATGTTGACCGAACCTTTGCTTGGCCAAATGGTAAGCACGTTATATAGTGCGCGCTCGTCACGCGACTCGTTCTACCAACTGGCGTCGGGCAATTGGATGTGGTTTGCTTTGCGCACCAGGCATGTTTGTTTCTCCTCATGCGGATATTTGTTGGAATGTGGAACATTCTCAAATCTAGCTACTTTTGGGAGGGCAACCCGCGAAGCAAGAACAAGGGATGGAGATCGCCCCTCCCCCTCCCCCTTCCCCTCCCCCTCCCCCCTCCCCCTCCCCCTCCCCCTCCTCATCCCCTCCCCCTCCTCATCCCCTCCCCCTCCCCTTCCCCTCCCTTCCCCGCCTGCACACATGGGCTTTTTGGCACTGGGTCCAGCAAATATGTGCTGAAAGTTGTAGAAGACCTACTTAGTAGGATTGAGTTTGTGGTATTTTTGGCCTATGTGCCATATGTCTTGAGCGAGTCAGCGCTTCAAAAGTTGAGCAGATGCTTGCGACACCTCTTGACCTGTTGGCTGAAATGCCGTTTCTTTATTGCACGCAACTTGCTTGCCAAGCTTTGCGGTCTCCATTTGCGGCGGGGCCGCAGGGCCAGTCCAGACAAGGAAAATGTTGGCATTTGTCTTTGCATGATGCAGGGAGATCAGGGAGCATGGCGGCATTCACAGAGGGTCAAGACTGCTGGCTATTGTCCCGATTGGGTCTTCACTTTTACCGCACCTTTTCAATCAGCGACTCCATGTGCCTGATTCCAGGCTTCTGATTGCTTTGGAAGAACGCACTCCTGTTCGCCTCATCTCCGGAAGATTCTTCATCCCCAGGCAAGACTGAACTACTAAAAGATTTAGGTGGGCCTCGCCTGTCGCGCCAGAGCTCTTGCGAAATGACTGGTACCGCGTTCTGACAAAGCGCGAGCAAGATGCGGTGGTGCTGTCCCAAGTGAACGGCCCAAAGTGCCAATTCCGGAACCTCAGCCAAAGCGTCGGCCGCATCAACTGCAGGAGCACCATGGAGGACATCGGCAAAGAGGTGGCGCCGACCATGTTGCCTGGTCAAATCCTGCTGAGCAGCGGCTGCTCTGGCGAGGAAGCGCTGATTTTGCAAGGGACCCCATCCCTCGGTACCTCGACAAGGTACCAGCTCTGCTGGAGGAGATGGCGTGCCAATGCTTCCTGCACGACCTCGCGGGAAATTCCCGTCGTTCTCGCCGTCTACCAAGCAGCTCTGGCCAGCCTGTCTTGGAGCTTGCCGCCAGCGGACGACGATGCCGATGACAGCGACGTCGCCTGGCCAGGTTTGCGGCGTGGAGCTTCGTAGATGGTAGCGGCGGCGCATCCCAGGTAAAAAGAGCCGCGTGATGAGGGGGCAAGTGGGCGGGCAGGGCTTCGTGGCTTTTCCAAACTAAACACAGCTCTTTTTTCGTGTTGTCAACAGGCCCTGTCACTCTTTCGCTCACGGCCGCGTTCCTGACAAACCACACTTTGGAACCAATTACCCCGATCGCAGAACCTTTCTTAGGCATGCCGGCGCGCATTTTGTTGACCTCTGACACTGCAACAATAACAAGCGCCTTTTGTGTTTAACCACCTGGCTGCCTTCGATGAACATATTTTTTTGGCTTCAAGCAGTTCTACGAAACACATTGTTTTTTGAAAACAATGTTTTTGAATAAGCATAATATTTGTAAATATTCTTTTTAAACAAAGCAATTGTTGAAACAATGTTTGGTGCTTTAAAACAATGTTCGGGGTCTGGCGGGGACCTCTGGAACCTCACAGCTTTTTAAATACATCCAAATAAAACAATCTACATGATTGACAATAAGTTTTGAGGAGGCGTTCGAGTTCCTTGAGCCGGGGCTGAGTACAATGCACGTCCAACAAAACAGCCCAATGGCACACTGGAGAAAGGTGCATTTCGCCAAAAGGCATCTCAGAGTCTCCACAAAGAGTCGGAAGACCCTCGAAGAACCAGATCACCAAAAGCATCCTTTGCCTTTTTGTCGGCTTTGGCAGCCACCCATGCATTCCGAACAGGAGTGTTGGTGTGTGGTTTAGCTGTATGCAACAGCTCCGCATGAATCATTTGGCCGCCCTTCAGACCTTTAAATGACGGGTGTTAGGCCGGCGCCTGACCGGGCCAGGAGTGGAGCACCGGGCACCCGGACTGGGATGCCAAGGTTGCGGACCTGGCCTCGCGCGCGGTGACGCTAGGCGCGCCTTCCCACCTGACTGCGTCGAGTTGAAGTTGCCCCGAAGCAACTTATCTTCCCGCAGCATTTCCTGACGTAAGGTCATGTGGTTTAGATGCGATGTGTGAAAAAAAATTCTTCTCAATGAGGAACCCTGGCTGGGGCACCCGAGAGGGTGGAGGATAACCAGCCACTGAATCAGTTCGAGGGGATGGCTTTGGGGCAAAAGCTGTCAACCAGGTCAGTCCGAGGTCACATGGCTTCATCTCTGGAAGCTCGGAGATCTCCATGTTACGCTCTCGTGCTATGTGGACATGTTTGGAGTGCACTTTGCCATCGTTTCCAGCCTTTCCCTCTCATACAAACAGCCATAGCGCATTTATGTCGAAATGCAAAATTAATTGGGGCCTCAGATGTTTGCTTGTGTGGGCCTTTGATGTCGCAGTTCAGCTAAACATCCGGGCTGCCAAGCAACTGGGCCCAAAGGGAGCAATTACAACTTGACACTGAACTTTGTCAAGTGTATGTTCTAAAATCGAACATTATTGATAGTAAGTTCATGAATGACGCTCGGATACCCTTCCAAAGTGCAAGCACCGTCGTTGGGCGAGACATTCACATATCCGGTAGACATCCACAGAACAGTTAAAATGGTTGGAGAAGCTACAGTAGCTGCGAACCAACTGCGTTTCTCTGGTCGCAAGCCCCGGCCACATTTGCCTGAAAAGCGTGGGTTCTAGACATTATCGTCATAGTAGATTGCTTTACACTTCAGAAACTACGCAGCTAGCAGATGGTGAACAGAGCAGGCTTGATGCCTTGCAACCTCAGATGCTCAGGCACATGTTAAATGTGAGGTGCCTCCCTCACGATTTGACAGCACATGGCAAACCAAAGAGTCACATAACTACCCGGCACACACACGCCTTTCAACAGGGTGGGAGGCGGGAATGCTCACACTGCTGGGGCTCATCCTTTCATCCACACGTGCCGGCCCATGAGAGACAGAGGTCTCGTGCCACCCATCCATACTTACCCAGACAGGAACAGTGTAGGAAACCAGGAGCACTGACTGCTTGAGACCTTGCAAGACACTTGTGCAAGTGCACAGATTCATGTGGAGCCACAGCTTGACGCAAGCCAAGATCAATACAAACACGTGCCGAAGCTGTCGAACAGGGCAATGCACTGGACCTACTTGTTTACAGGACGTAGCGAGTGTTCCTCGGAAAAACAAGCGACAAACTCTGGCCTGCGGCACTGGCCATGGTACAGATGCGGTAGCGCTCAGCTTTTCTTAAAGCAGCGTACTGCTTGATTCTGCAACTCATCACATGGGGGCTGGCTCAGCATTCGGTACGCACCCGTGCAACCCTTTGTCACCTTCAAGGAAAAGCTGGGGGGAGGGATCACACTTTGTGCTCAGCGTCTTCTCCAGTCCAACACCCTTCATCTGCCAGTTCACCATGGTAACGCTGACCATTTAGCGAGTTTCCCAGCCCATCCGTGATTACAGATGCTCCTTCGCATGCTGGCAAAGTACTACTTGGAAGGGCTAAGGACATTTTTCAAGCATGGGTGGCACGGGCCCATGGCATCGTTTGAGTTTCGGCATGTTCCTCGAAGCAATAGTTGCTCATTTGTACAACTACTTGGATCGGCATTTACCAAGCACCCTTTGCCAAGCCACGTTTCCATGCCACGTATAAAGGCAGTTCGTGGGCTACCCGACTGGAAGCGCTTCCATTCTTCGCCTTGGATGGAGAGCTGATTGATTTCACAAAACAAAACGCGTCAGCCCATCGACAACTGTTACAGCTTTTATGGTAATCGGTTGCTTCCTTGTCTAGTATTTGAAGGTGATCAATTGGTTTGCTTGGGTACAGCCCCACAGCCCCTGTTGGCCATACTAGGAGTTCCAAGCCCCGGCTTGGATATTTTTGACCAACTCCTGCAGGTGCTTTGTTAGACTTCTACAGCAGTCTGCCGGAGAGAATGCCGCACTTCGACCCGGAGAAGCACACCACCGAACAGGTAGTGCGCCAGGCGATCATCCCCATGTCTCGAGGTGGGATTTTTCCTTCAGCGCGACCGCCCCCCCTACCCAATACGTTAGGGACTGGGTGTCTCATTGCTTTTGTCCATGTTTGTTGTTCCTGTTTTGTTTTGCCCTGCTTGCTTGCTTGCCTTTCCTTGCCTTGCCTTGCCTTGCCTTGCCTTGCCTGCTGTGGTTGCCTTTGCTGTGCTCTGCCTCTGCTGTGCTCTGCCTTTGCTTTGCTTGCTTGTGTGACTACATGGAAGCAAGCTGCCTGAAATTCTGCTGTTGGCAGTGCGCATTCCAGTCAGTCAATGGAACTTGCGAGGGTGAACCATTGAGGTTTGAAGCTGAAGTGGGTGTAAGAATTGTCAGGCAGCCATGCAGTTGCTGTAATCCTTGTTGCCGCAGCAGTCTATCATGTGGATTTCATGGTCATGAAGGTCTCAAGCTATTGCTCATTGTTTCGAAGCTTCCGCCGGGGCTTTTGATGGTATCAAAGCTTTTGGTTGGTTTAATTGCTTTCTCTGCACAGGGATTGCTAGATGATGCCAGTCTGCATCACCCTTCGGAAGGAAATTGCGTTTCAATTGTGATGTTCACAAGGCCAAGGCAGACCTCACCATATCTTGGGGAGATCCTGAGATCAACGAGTTGGTGCTCGGCTGATCGCCTCTCGAGGCACCATCCATGGCGACTGCCCAGCGGCCATTGTACTCATGGGCGAGGCCAATGCCCGCATGAAGCCTTGGCGGTTGGTATTGGGATGATGTTGAAGAGGCCGTTTGAATGATGTGCCTTCGTCCAGGGTGCCTGGTGCCTTCTTCATGCTAGAGGTGTGTTTCCTACCCATACGCAGCCAGTGGGAAGCCGAAGCAGATCATTTCATTTGACCAATCATACATCTGGGGATTTGGTGGCATTTGTATTCCGCATGCTTGCTGTTGAAGATCCACTCTTGGCCAACAAGTTTAAAGTGGCAGGTTTATGGTGGAGGATCCCATTTTCTCAGCATCAAGCGTACTGCGCGTACTGCTGGCTTTCAACTCAGGTTCGATGATACTTGTCAAAGATGGAAGGTGGATACGGATGAGGGCAACCGCAAGAGTGTAGCTGTAAGGGGAGTAGAGTGCCAGAGACATTCAAGAGTAATTATTGTAGGCCGTTGTTGTAATGTTTCCAGGGTGCTCCACGAACCATCGGAGGGCTGGAGCGAACAGGGGCGAGCCCAATGCCCGATTCAAACAGCCCTTGTGACGACCTCAACAACTGTTGCCGGAACTCAAGCAAGCTATGCAGCATCATATGCAAGAAACCGAGATTCAATTGGTTTTACTTGTTTCGACTAGACAAAGTGTGAAGGCCACTTCTCCACACACAACCCCGCAACCTTCGAGCACCTTGCACTATACCCAACCCTCTGAACAAGTTTCCCTCTCTTAAATTTCACATCAAAAGACACACACTTGAGAACAACCTCCCAATTCGGTGAAGCAATAGCTTGCCCCCCGATAACGCCCTTTTTAGTTTGTTTATACAGTGCTTTCAATCTCATAGTCCCAAACCAAGACAGGTGTGGTGGTGCCCCAACGGATGGCATCAAGGCAATCTAGTTTATGGTCGATTGGTTTGCCTTGCTTTTCATCTGGACAATCCAGGGAGAAGACGCTCGCGAACAATGCCCCGTTTGACACTTTGCGAGCAGCGTTCACACTGAGCTCTACAATGTGCAGTCGAACAGCTATTCCCCGCTCGAGCACAAGTGCAAGCACCTCAGCATATTTGCATCCAGCGGAAAACAGCAACAGGCGAGCCCTTTGCCGGTTTCCACAGTGTAGCGCCCAGGGAACCCCGCTCACCTCTGATTTCACCCGCCCAATTGGTGCCCAGCTTTGGGAGGCCCTGATGCCAGACCTGATGGTGACGCACAGCTGGTCCAACCGCTTTGCGTGCCTTGTGGCTGCTGTGCCTTGGCAGGATAGACAGGAGCCGGCAAATTTTTGGGGACGGTTGTGCTTGAACACACAAACCCTCAGGGAAATGGTTGAAACATGAGCTCTGTGTGTCCTCCGCAGGGGGCTGGGGAGAGAGGACGCTGGTCTACGGCCGCATTTGAGAGACTGACAAGGTTGATATACTCGTACAAGTTATGACTACTGATTTCAGGATTTGTTCAAGCGGCCACATTCAGGGAATATTCAGACTTATCATTGTCTTACTTAGGAAGGCCCTATTTATTGGAGCGTGTGGCCAGCAAGTTTTTCAAGCTACCACATAGACAAGACCAATAGCAATCCTTTTGATTGGTGGCTAGACATGAAATCAAGAGGAGCCAAAGCAGGGGTAAGCGAGTTTTTGGCACGACCAGTGGCTCCTGCTTGTGGTTGATCCAATGTTGGTCATTTCGTACCAGTGCTAGTTTAGAGTCGCCTCAGCTGCACATCATAGTTTGGAGCAGGCATGAGCTCACGCGTTACTTCACTTTGAGCACTTTGGAACACCGTTTGGTCTGAGCCACCCTTGTTTTGGCCTCAAGGTGGTAGCGGACGCTTTGGAGGTCCCGGGTTACACGAAGGTGCTGCGGGACGGACGGCTGAAGCCAGGGGAGCTGGAGGCGTGCGCTCGTGTCGGCGCTCGTGTCGGTGCGGCGCGCCAGGGGGCAGGTTGCAGGCCAACGCTAAAACTGGGAGCAGTTGTCCGGTGCGTTGCTCCCCTTTGCTACGGGTTCATCTTTTGCTTTGGCAGAGAATGCCAAGAAATCGCTTCTCGGGGCCAGAAGATGAGTGGCCAGGACAGAAGAGTTCATGTGCACGGGAGCCAGACCAGTCCTCGAGCCCCGGTGGCTTTTCGCATTGCATTTGAGGCAATGCAGGCTGTCCAACGCCTCATGGTGCCAAATATCTCTGTGTTTGCGCTTGTCTCTCTGTGTGTGTCATGCTTGGCATCATTCGGATAATTGTATCGGTGCTTGTTGGTAGGTCTCACGGCATGTGGAACGTGCTCCAAGCCTGGAGAAATCAGATCCAGGTCCGCGAAAGGTCAACCATCCTTGTCATGCACACTAGTCGTGAAGCAAAGGGGGCGT